AAGTGGAGCAGCTGGGATTCGAACCAGCGGCCATATGTGATGACACTGCAGGCGGCAGCTTTACCTGCTACGCCACAGCGCCGGCCCTCGTTGTCAACTTTTTGATAGCAGCTACTTCCAGCAGTTTTATTGTTTTTCATATTATTTAGCATACAGATGTTGTACCAGGTACTATTCTGTGCACTGTGATATTTTAAATAATTTTCACAACCACTCTTTTAGAAATGAGGAAACTGAGGCAAGTAGTTAAGAAAGCCAGGTTTATTTGTCTCATAATTGTTGAAGCTGAAATTGTAAGCTTAGGCAGTAAGACTATCCATTCTGTTCATGCTAATAAGAATTTAGTAGGAATTGTACTTCTTTTTAAAATAGGACATTTGTTTACATTAGTACCAAAAAACCTAGAGTAGTCACATATTTTTAATGGAATCTATGATATCTGAGACTATAATAAAACATTGGCAGGGTAAGTTTTTGGGGTTTTGCTCTCACCGCTTGATAACTTTTATTGGTGTTGAACAGTTGAGTTAGCAGTTGATTCTGTCATCAGAGCATGGGGTTTAGTTAGGGAGCCAAATTAATATCCATATTTCAAGGTAGAAAGTGATCTAAGTCCTCGTAGTAGTGTTAGCATAGGACAGCCTCAGATATCCTCCTGTCTCTGTTTCTCGAAGTGTGTCCGTGAGCAGCAGTTTCAGCCTCAAGTAGAATCTCAAGCTTTATTCCCATCTGTGGAGTCAGAGTCTGCATTTTTATAAGAGCCCCAGGTGATTAGTATTCCCATTAAACCTTGAGAAGCACATCTTTGGTCCAAAGCCATCATTTTACAGGTGAGGAAATGGGATTCTTAAGGTCCAAATAACTTAGCTGCTTTAGTCAAAGAGCCAGCTCTTGATTCCAGAACCCTGGTTCTTGGTAGGGCTAGGTATGAGGTAGATTGGGATTTCAGAGGAATTTGCTCGCTCTGTTGGGCTGCTTTGAAAGTTCAGAGGTAAACCTACAGATTTACCCTTCCATTCCTTTTTTCTTGCCTACCCGGAATCTTGTTGAATGCCACTTGCTGTAACAGTATAATCAGAACATGTTCATTAGAGAAATCTTGGTAATCATCACTGCTTGTGTTAGCTTGCTTCATCATGTACATTACCGTCCTCAAAGATCTGTGCCATTTCTGGCTATTGGGAAATACTTACGTGTTCAGAACATATTTTTTGCTCAGTTCAAAACTCCGTGGTTAAAATTCATCCATTAAGTCTCCAGTCATTTCTTGTGACCCATTGTTCTCAAGAATAAAATGTGACTTAGAGAAGTATTTGTTTAATTACTGTTTGAAAAAGCCTCTGAAACAAGGGGATGATCTTGCCTTTAAAGAGTGTTGATTATTTCTTCTTGCAAAAATAGAAGTGGGGAAAATATAAACAGCATGTGTTGATGGAAGTGCCTTTTCTACTTTTGTCTTCACCTCTGTTTCACACCGGCTACATGCCCAGAATATCTGTAAGCCCAGTTGTAAAATGATTCTCCAAAGTGTTTTTATGAGGCATCAATAACACATCTCTTTTTTTCTAATTAAAAAAAATTTGAGAGGCAAGTAGCTGGACACCTCCCATCTGCTGTTTTATTCCCCAAGCATCCAGGTCAGTCCAGGTCTTCGATGTGGATGGCAGGAAACCACGTATTTGAGCCATCACTTGCTGCCTCCCAGTGTGTGCATTAGTAGGAAGCTGGAATTGGAAGTGGAGACAGATCTCATAAACTAGGCATTCCATTGTGGGTTGGGGTGTCCCAAGTGATACCCTAACTGCTGTTCCAGAAGCTATAATGGGACATTTTTTGAATAGTATTCAAGATAAATCATTTTATATCTAACTAAAAAAGATTTGCTTTTTTAAAAAGTGATGTTAAAAAAACAACATAAATGTTTAAGGAGATAGGTTTATCCTGATTTGAGCATTACACAAATATCAGAATATCACATGGTACCCCCATAGTTATGTGCAGTTTTGTGTTAAATTTTTAAAAAACTTTACCTTAACCACATATAGTTTAAATATTTATTTAAATGATAGAGTAACAGGGAGAGATCTTCCATCCACTGGTCTCCCCCCTCAAATGCCACAGCAACCAAATCTAGGCCAGGCCACGCCATGGCACACTTGGTTAATCCTCCTCCTGTGGTGCTGGCATCCCATATGGGTGCCAGATTCTAGTCCTGGTTGCCCCTCTTCCAGTCCAGCTCTGCTGTGGCCCGGGAGTGCAGTGGAGGATGGCCCAGGTGCTTGAGCCCTGCACCTGCATGGGAGACCAGGAGGAAGCACATGTCTCCTGGCTTTGGATCGGCATAGCTCCGGCCGTAGCGACCAATTTGGGGAGTGAACCAACGGAAGGAAGACCTTTCTCTCTTTAACTATCTAACTCTGTCAAATAAATTAAAAAAAAAATTGTTTAAAAAAAAAATCTAGGCCAGGCCAAAGACAGGCACCAGGAACCCTATCCACATCTTCCACATGAGTGGCAGGAACCCAAGAACCTGAGCCATCTTGTGCCTTCCCAGATGCATTAGTAGGGAGTTGGATTGGAAGCAAAGCAACCAGAATAGGAACTGGTTCACTTATATGGGATACCAGTGACAAAAGTGGCAGCTTAACCTGTGGTGCCACAATGTTCTCCCTTAAGTGTACAATTTAGTAGTGTTAAATAAATTTACATCATTGTGCAACAAATTGCTGAAACATTTCATCTTATAAAACAAACCATGCCAGTTGAACAGCTACTCCCTCCTCCTTTTCCTCTCATTCAGTTCTAACAATTTCTGCCATTCTATTTTCCTGTTTGTGTGACTATGAATATCTCATTTAAGTGAAATCATACAGTATGGTTTTTTTTTTTGTTGTTTTTTGACAGGCAGAGTGGACAGTGTGAGAGAGACAGAGAGAAAGGTCTTCCTTTTTGCCGTTGGTTCACCCTCCAATGGCCGCCGCGGCTGGCGCGCTGCGGCCGGCGCACCGCGCTGATCCGAAGGCAGGAGCCAGGTACTTCTCCTGGTCTCCCATGGGGTGCAGGGCCCAAGCACTTGGGCCATCCTCCACTGCACTTCCCTGGCCACAGCAGAGAGCTGGCCTGGAAGAGGGGCAACCGGGACAGAATCTGGCACCCCGACCGGTACTAGAACCCGGTGTGCCGGCGGAGGATTAGCCTAGTGAGCCACGGCGCCGGCCACAGTATGTTTTTTGACTGTTTTATTTCATTTAGTGTAATGTCTAAAGAGTTCATCTATATTGTAGAATATGTCAGTTTCCTTCCATTTAAAGAGAAAATGATGAGCCGTTGTGTTTACGTACTACATTTTATCCATTCATCTTGAATGGACATTGGGGTTGTTTCTAACTTTTGGTTGTTGTGAAACTGCTTTTATGAATGTGGATATATAATGCTTCTCACTTTTTGAAAAGCTATGCTAAATTATATTTTAGTTTTTTAGTGAAGAAAACATTTCACTTGTTACAAGACATTAGCTGATGGTGTCTACTTTGTTGTAAAAATCTTGGGGCCAGTGCTGGGGCATAGCGGGTAAAGCCATCGCCTGTAGTGCTGGCATCCCATATGAGCGCTGGTTCGAGGCCTGGCTGCTCCACTTCCGATCCAGCTCTCTGCTATGGCCTTGGAAAGCAGTACAAGATAGGCCAAGTCTTTGGGCCCCTGTACCCACCTGGAAGACCCAGAAGAAGCTCCTGGCTCCTGGCTTTAGATCAGCACACTCTGGCCATTGTCGCCATCTGGGGAGTGAACCAATGGATGGAAGATCTCTCTCCCTGCCTCTGCTTCTCTCTCTTTGTTACTCTTACTTTCAAATAAAATAAATAAATCTTTTAAAAAAAGAATATAATGTATAATTTACTTTAAAAATCTTATGGAAGTCATGTGACCCCATCAATCTGTTGGCCTCTGTAACGATAGAGAAACACATTCATGAGCTTGTAGTGAAAGCTGGTGAGATAATGCCTAGTAAAGCGCTTTTCGCAGGTGATTGTTGTGATACAGTGGGTTAATCTGCTTGGGGCACCTGTGTCCCTGTTAGAGTCTGAGTCTGGTCTGGCCTCCACTTCCATCCACTTTCTGCTAATGTGCCTAGGAGGCAGCAGATGATGGCCGAGGTAGTTGGGTTCCTGCCAGCCCTATGAGGGACCCAGGTAAAGTTTCTGGCTCCTGGCTTCAGCATGGCCCTTCCCCAGCTATTGTGGGTATCTGGGGAGTGAACCAGCCAAATGTAGTTTTGTTCCTCTAGCTTTCAAATAAATTAATTAAACCTAAAGTATCAATAGTTTTGTTTGTAAACTTCTTTTGAAATGCTTAAAGTGTAACACAAATATAGGGAGACCAGTGACAGTGTAGCCAATCCATTACCTTTACATTCAGAGTCAATAAGGTCTTTTGGTTTTTGAACTTCCAAGTTTGTTCTTTTGGTGAGATCTGCCCTGTGATATTAAATAATGATATCATTAATTCCTCAACTGTGTGATGAACAAAGCTTTGATTTTCCAAACAGATAACCCTAATGTTGAAAGGGAAAAATTGACATAAGAGAGAAATTTTGGATTTGTTATGTTAAAAGTGAATTCCTGATTAGTTTTGAAACTATGTAAGATTGGTAAAAGTGTATGTAAGATAACCATTATTTTGAAAGGAGCTTGTTAAAAAATTAAGAAAATACAAATTTGGGATAATAGCTTATAGCTGTGATTCTTTTGGTTTATCTCTGAAAAATGGAAGGATGTGGGTACAGATGGAATTGAGTATCTGGTATTAATCTTGAGAGGGTTTATTCGTGGAGTGAGAAGTCACCAGTTCCAGTCAAATGCTGGAGTTAGATCTAGGCTCTATTCATTATATTTCCCAAGTTACTGATACAGCTGTAAAGTTTGATATGTGGCATTAAAAAAGCATTTTGAATCTTATTAATAAGTTTTTTTAAAGTCATGATTTACAATTTTGTCTTCCAGGCTCATCAACAGAGCAGACGAGCAGACCGTTTACTGGCTGGAGGGAAATATGAAGAGGCTATTTCTTGTCACAAAAAGGCTGCAGGTGAGGTTTTTTAAAATGTTAAGATTTATTCATTTGAAAGAGTTACAGGGGGGGCTGGCACTGTGATTTAGTCAGATGTCTCATATGGCTGCTCCACTTCCAGTCTAACTCCCTGCCGAATGTGCTTGGGAAAGCACTGGAAGATGGCCCAGCATGGGAGATGGCACCCTCATGGGAGACCAGATGGAAGCGCCTAGCTTTAGATCGGCCCAGATCTGGCTGTTGAAGCCATTTGGGGATTGAGCCAGTGGTTGGAAGATCTCCATCTCTCCCTCTCTAACTCTGCTTTCAAATAAATAGACCTTTAAAAAGAGAGAGAGACAGAGGGAGATCTTCCATCTGCTGTTTGACCCTGCAGATGGCTGCAGTGGCCAATGCTGGGGTAGGCTGAAGCCAGGAGTTTCTTCAGGGTCTCCCACGTGGGCGGCGGGGGCCCAAGCACTTGGGCCATCTTCTGCTGACTTTCCCAGGCCATTAGGGAGCTGGATCTGAAGTGGAGCAGCTGGGGCAGGAACTGGTGCCCATATGGAAAACTGGCATCCCAGGCTGTAGCTTTACTGTCTACACCACATTGGCAGCCCCAAAATGCATCCATGCTGGATCAGCAGTTGCAGAGCACACAGAATGTCTCACCAGAATTTTTTTTTTTTTTTTTTTGATAGAGTGGACAGTGAGAGAGAGAAAGGTCTTCCTTTTGCCGTTGGTTCACCCTCCAATGGCCGCCGTGGCCGGCGCGCTGTGGCCGGCTCACCGCGCTGATCCGATGGCAGGAGCCAGGTACTTCTCCTGGTCTCCCATGGGGTGCAGGCCCCAAGCACTTGGGCCATCCTCCACTGCACTCCCTGGCCACAGCAGAGAGCTGGTCTGGAAGAGGGGCAACCGGGACAGAATCCGGCGCCCCGACCGGGACTAGAACCCGGTGTGCCAGAGCCACAGGCAGAGGATTAGCCTATTGAGCCACGGTACCGGCCTCTCTCACCAGATTTAAACATGGAGTCATGGAAAAGAAACAGTGTGCAGCTGCACAGGTTGCCTATTGGAATAAAAAAGAAAAAGTTGGAAAAATTGATAAAACAACCAAATTTTTTTCTTTAATGGTAGCATCTGATGAATTTGTATCTAAAGGACTGTGTATATCCTAGCAGACAGTTCTAAACCATGAAATCAAAAAATTATTAAACTGTTTGGATTAATGCAAAAAGGCAGAAAAGAACTCAACGTATGGATAAGAGATGCCAAAAGTTTATAGTAAGAGTTAAAAATTGTATACAATCCATTAATAATATTTTTACCCTACCTTATTCCAGAAGGGGTGAAAAATGTCTTATAGAGGAGATCTATAGAAAGAGTGGGAAAAAACCTGGGAGTATAATTTATAAAATGTGCCATAAATTCCGGTACATTTATAGAAGAAGAATTTGCCCATAAGCTTTCTAACAGCCTGAAAAGGAAAAGTAAGGATTTTTAAATTGGCTACATTAATTGCAAACAAATTCAGACACTCAAAATCGGCTCCTAAGATCAGAGGAAGAGTTTAGTGAAGGCCTTCATAGATGACATTATATTCTCTTCAGTAACTTCCTTACAGTAATCTGTCAACAGATTCTTAGGGTCTCTACTACCTTAATTCATAATAAACTGATGTCATAGCTCGGAAAGAATTCAATAACACTAATTGTGTACAAGGCCAAAGTGATGTAGTCCAGGTATTCAGGTGGGTTAAAAGTCATCAGTAATCACTTGATATTTTGGTGAGCATAGTGAGTGGTACATTGTTGGCAATTCTTAATATTCTTCCCTGAACCAGTTTTCTGATTAGATCATCTTCAGTTCTTTATGGCTGTGTACATCATTATATTAACATTGTTTTGTAATTTTAAATTTATTTGAAAAGCGGAAGAAGAGATGTCTACTGATTACTCCCCAAATGCCTGTAACAGCCAGGACTTGTGCAGGTTGAAAGCCAGAAGTCCAGAATTCCATTCGGATCTCTGGGAAGCTGCATCAGAAGCAGGGTGAGGACTGGAGCCCAGGCGCTTTGATAAGGGTGTGGCCATCCCAACCCAAGCAGCATCCTAACTGCTGCATCACATGCTCATCCAGCTTCATTTTCTTAAGTGTAACATTTACGGGTCGGTGTGGTTCTTTCTCTTTGAGAGACTAAAACCTTCAAGATGGAGTAGGGATATTTACATTTGATCATCACTGACATCCTTTTTTCAGAAGAATCCTGTCCAGGGGTTGGACAGTGTGGCACAGCAGATTAAGCCGCCACTTAGGACACCTGCATTTCAGAGTGCTGGGATCGAGTCCCACCTTCTTCTCATCCAGCTTCTTGCTGACATTGTAGGAAACAGCAGGTGATGGCTCAAGTACCTGGATCCTTGCCACCCCCATGGGAGACCTGGGTAGAGTTCTGATCCAACCCTGGCTATTGCAGGCATTTGGAGGAGTAAACCAGAGGATGGAAGCACACTGGCTCATTTGCTGTGTGTGTGTGTGTGTCTGTGGCTCTGCCTTTCAGATAAATAAAGTTAAAAGAAACCAAATTTGGAAATCTCCGTTTGACAGAACTGCTTAGAGGACCAGTTCTGTCTGTCATATGAGGAGTATTAAAATTCTTCCTTTGACTAATTAAAAAATAACAACATTTATATATTTGTGTACATTTTTTTTTCTTACCAGCTTATCTTTCTGAAGCCATGAAGCTGACACAGTCTGAGCAGGTGAGACATGTTGTTGATATTTGCAACAAGGCTTAGGAAGGTTTTTTTGGTGGAGACTTGGAAATCTAAAATAAAATATTGTGCCCCTCTGAAATCTCTGTATTAAAAATGGGCAAGAGAAGAGTACTTCAGAAAGGCAATTTAAACTAAGTGAGCTACTGCAGATGTCCCAGAACTGGTGTGCAGGAACTTCTGTCCCTTTTTCTTTTTTTAAACAAGATTTATTTATTCATTTATTTGAAATTTCGCCAGAGTTACAGAGAAGGAGAGAAGGGGATAGAGATATCTTCCATCCGCTGCTTCACTCCCCCAATGGCTGCAGTGGCTGGACCTGGGCTAATCTGGAGCCAGGAGCTTCTTTGGGGTCGTCCATGCAGGTGCAGGGGCCCAAGCACTTGGGCTATTTTCTGCTTTCCCAGGCCATCAGCAGGGAGCTGGCACCCATATAGGAAGCTGGTGCTGCAGGTGGCGGCTTTACCCACTATGCCACGGCGCTGGCCCCATGTCCCTTTTTTTAGTGGCTACTCAGAGATCTCAGATGGCCAGATGTCTCTTTTAGAGATGCATAGGTACCGTTCCTAATCATGCCTCATATTTGGTTATTTGCTCACAGTGAGGTCAGCAAGCCTAGCCAAGGGAAACTATTTGGACCACCCTTTGCTTGTTAAGTATAATTTAAATAATACCCTCCCATTTGTCTTTTTTTGAATTCTTACACAGCTCTGGTACTTTCTAAAGATTTATTTTATTAATTTCAAAGAGTTAGAGGTAGAGCCAGAGAGAGAGAGATCTTCCATTTGCTGGTTCACTCCCCAGTGACCACAATGGACGGAGCTGAGCTGATCTAAAGCCAGGATCCAGGAGCTGCTTCTGGATCTCTCATGTGGGTGCAGGGGCCCAAGGACTTGGGCCATCTTCTGCTGCTTTTCCAGGCCGTAGCAGAGAACTGGATTGGAAGTGAAGCAGCTGGGACTAGAACCGGCGCCCACACAGGATGCCAGCACTGCAGGCCAGGGCTTTAACTCACTGTGCCACAGTGCTGGCCCCACAGCTCTGGTACTTTTAAATTTGTTTCATTGGTGACTTTAAATTGTCTTCTGTTAATGGGAAGGGCCTACCTAGGTTTTAAAAATAGATTATCCAGGCCGGCGCCATGGCTCACTAGGCTAATCCTCCGCCTGCGGCGCCAGCACACCGGGTTCTAGTCCCGGTCGGGGTGCCAGATTCTGTCCAGGTTGCCCCTCTTCCAGGCCAGCTCTCTGCTGTGGCCAGGGAGTGCAGTGGAGGATGGCCCAAGTGCTTGGGCCCTGCACCCCATGGGAGACCAGGAGAAGCACCTGGCTCCTGGCTTCGGATCAGCGTGGTGCGCAGGCTGCAGCACGCAGGCCGCAGCGGCCATTGGAGGGTGAACCAAGGGCAAAAGGAAAACCTTTCTCTCTCTCTCTCTCTCACTGTCCATTCTGCCTGTCAAAAAAAAAAAAAAAAATTATCCAAAAATGATTTCTTGTTTATAAAATGACCCAAGTGTCTGGGCAGTACTCAGTATTTGTCTCACTTGAATTAAATGGATTGTTTCTGTGAGGGGTATCAGGGCCAGGGAAAAACCTGTGGCTCCTCAGATGAACCAAGGGAGCCTTAAAGGTGAGCTTTATCCTTGGCACTCCCTTTGACAGTGTAGAACCTGCTCATAAGAGCTACATGATACAGGTGTCCACTGAGCTGTCTAAATACCCTGATTCACAAGACTTTCTTTTTAACTGGTTTACAATTAGTATGTCTGAAGAGGCAAAATTTCCAATTTAAGCAGAGTTCAAATGGCATTGCAGAGCAATAAGGCATGTCCAGAAAGTCTGATTCAGTCTGTTGACTGAGAATAGCACTTGTGACTTCCTCAATGAATGGTGTTTTCTTATGAATGAAATTTTTAGCTTATCCGAAAAGACCTGGTTATTCTAAAAACTTTTTGAGGTTATATTGATCTGCAAGCATATTGTATAAATTGTTATTCAGAAAGGAGCATCTTAGGATGGTATCTGTTGGACATTACTAAAGAGACCTAAAATGTGAAGTTCTGTAATTGTACCTCTCTTTCTGTGTGATAGGCTCATTTATCACTGGAATTGCAAAGGGACAGCCACATGAAACAGCTCCTCCTCATTCAGGAGAGGTGGAAAAGAGCCAAGCGCGAGGAGCGACTGCGCGCCCAGCAGCACCCAGACAGGGATGCCACTGCCCATCTTCAGGCATCTCCCAGACCCTGTGCTGAGGACGCGGAAGGCCACAGTCTCCTCCTTCCTCACAAGTACAGTCCTTCCACCGAGAGACGTCTGCCTGAACTTCGAGGGGCCTTTGACAGGGATCCAGACACGCTACTGTTTTTACTTCAGCAAAAGAGCGAGCCAGCAGAGCCGTGTATTGGAAGCAAAGCCCCAAAAGATGATAAAACAATTATAGAGGAGCAGGCAACCAAAATTGCAGATTTGATGAAGCATGTGGAATTCCTTGTGGCTGAGAATGAGAGATTAAGGAAAGAAAATAAACAGCTGAAGGCTGAAAAGGCCAGACTTCTAAAAGGCCCCGTCGAAAAGGAGCTGGAAGTAGATGCTGACTTTGTAGAAAAGTCCGAGTTGTGGAGCTTGCCGCCGCAGTCTGACGCTGCTGCAGCCTCTGCAAGCTGGCAGAAGTTCGCAGCGAATCCTGGGAAAGCCAAGGACATTCCAATACCCAATCTCCCTCCCTTGGATTTCCCATCTCCAGAACTCCCCCTTATGGAGCTCTCTGAGGATATTCTGAAAGGATTTATGAATGATTAAAATGGAAGACCACAGACGTCAGAAAAGGAAATAATCCAGTAACGAGTTAATCCAGAACAGAAAACGAAAAAGGGAAAACCACACCTACAGGGGTATCCCGGAAGTGCTTCATCATCTGGCATCCTATGGGAGAGGAGGCATGGCCAGGCTATGGGAAAGTCACTGTGAAACGTGTCGCCTCTCTGATTCATTGACCTAAGCTGATGATTCCGACTCGGCAAACGCTCAACTCTCAGAGGTCCTTGTTCTCCTGATAAAAACCAAATGGCTACCTGGAATAATTTTTTCAAGCAACAGTTATTTTTCTTCAGGGTTAAAATGTGTAAAAATGTTCTGTGTAATTAATCTATGATGCCATAAATGATAATGCAAAACCGAAATAATAAGGTGGCCCGAGGGCTGCCTACAGTTGAAACATGCTTTCCATCATGCATTGACTGTGCGCGTTTTGTTATGCACATTTTGTTGGCTTATATATATAAAGTGTGTAAGAAACACACCTTTCTAGAAGAAACTATATGTGCCACACTTTGCACTACTCATAACATAATGATAACCTCAAGACTATCAGGAGAAATATTTAAATTTCCATTTTATGAAGAAAGGAACCAAATTATTAGCTTTTTTTTAAATTACCAGTTTACATAATTAATCAGGGTGCATTTTAAGTTCTAACTTTATTATATAATGCATCATTTGAAAATAGCAAGGAAATATCCTTTGTTTTTAATGATGCATGAGTGAAGTAATGCTAGTTGGCAGTATATGATTGTAAGAAATCAATAAAATAATTGTGTTTTATTTCTTTGTTGAATGTGGTTGGTAGTTTAAAACCAAGGCACCAAATAGTTTTCCTCCGTGTTGTAAACTTTGAATGGGAAATGGGAACACATGCAGTCAAATGGTTACCGTGGTATTTTATGGATCTTTTTTTCCCCATGTTTTGTAGTGTTTTTCCTACAACTGGGGTTTGGATGGGCATTTATAGGTGTTCTGAACCTTTTTTTTTTAAAGGTTATTTGAGAGGTGGCCAGCCCCAATAATATGTATTTTTTTAAAAGAGATATGGGAGATTTGGAGATCTTCTGCCTGTTGGTTCATTCCTCAGATGGCTGCAATGACCAGGGCTGGGCCAAGCTGAAGCTAGGAGCCTGGAATTCTACCCAGATCTCCAACATGGATAGCAGGGATCCAAGAACTTGGGCTGTCTTCTGCTGCTTTCCCAGGCACATTAGTGGGAGCTGGATCAGAAGCAGAGCAGCTGGATCTGGAAGTGGAGCCCATGAGGGATGCTGGCATTGCAGGCGCTGGATTAGCCTTGCACCATGACGCTGGCCCTCAGAATACACATTTTTTTAAAATGAACTTTAAGTTATGTATGGGACATAAGTTATATATGGATTTTCAAAATTTTTTGCCGTAAGTTATGTATGGATTTTCATAATTTTTTGCACCAAAATAAACTTCTAATTCCATTTTCCACGAACTTTTTGAAGTCCCCTTGTATACTGCCTCCTGAGACAGTTGGGAGCACCTATTTGAAGGGTAGGGTTGGCCATACACATTCAATGGTGAAAACTAGAGAAACAGGAAAGGGTAACCATGAATAACTTGTTCTTTATAAAAAGAAATTGCGGGGCCTGCACTGGGGTGTATCACGTTGAGCGACTGCCAATAGCGCTAGCATCCCATATGGCACCTGCTCGAGTCCTGGCTGCTCCACTTCTGATCCAGCTGCCTGCTAACATGCCTGGGAAAGCAGCAGACAGCCCAAATCCTTAGGCCCCTGGACCTACATGGGAGACCTAGAAGCAGCTCCTGGCTTTGGATTGGCCCAGCCCTGGCGTGTCTGGCCATTTGGGGAGTGAGCCAGCAGATGGAAGACCTCTCTAACTTTCAAAAAAATATTTCATAAATTACAAGGATTCTATACTCTTAAGGGTTAATTTGTCCATCTCAGTTATTAATATCCTAGACTCTGAGGACATTTTGCTTATGTAACCTTCCTCATAAAACTTGAGATTTAAAAGTTTGTGCCAAAAATAAGCTTTGATTAGCCTGGCCATTTCTCTGAATGAGCTCCATGTTTGATCTGAACCTCCGTTTCTACCTCTACCACCTCCTCTCTCCGCTCTTTCCTTCCCATTGCTTTCAGCAGTTTGATACGGATTTCCTAAGACCTTTCCTCTGCATTTTCACCAACAAATGTAGGTGAATTTGTATTAGCTTCAGTTCTCTGTTGCCCTTGAAGCTCGTTTCTTTTTTCTTTTTCTTTTTTTTAAAGATTTATTTATTTGGGGCCGGCGCCGCGGCTCACTAGGCTAATCCTCCGCCTAGCGGCACTGGCACACCGGGTTCTAGTCCCGGTTAGGGCGCCGGATTCTGTCCCGGATGCCCCTCTTCCAGGCCAGCTCTCTGCTGTGGCCAGGGAGTACAGTGGAGGATGGCCCAAGTGCTTGGGCCCTGCACCCCATGGGAGACCAGGAGAAACACCTGGCTCCTGGCTCCTGCCATCGGATCAGCGCGGCGCGCCGGCCGCAGCGCCCATTGGAGGGTGAACCAACAGCAAAGGAAGACCTTTCTCTCTGTCTCTCTCACTGTCCACTCTGCCTGTCAAAAAAATAAATAAATAAATAATTGATTTATTTGAAAGAATTACAGAGGGAGTCTTCCATCTGCTGGTTTACTCCCCAGTGGCCGCAAAGGCCGGAACTGAGCTGATCCGGAGCCAGGAGCTTCTTCCAGGTCTCTCTCCCACGCCGGTGCAGGGGCCCAAGGACTTGGGCCATCTTCTACTGCTTTCCCAGGCCATAGCAGAGAGCTGGATCAGAAGTGGAGCAGCCACGGCTTCCATTCCAGCCCTTGAAGCTCTTATTTACACTAAATAGTATTCTTGTTTAGTCCTGCCCTTAAGCTTTGTGTTGACCCGGAACTGTGTGGCACCTTTCCAACACCCTAGCACATTGTCCGCAGTAGGTACTAAAAGCAAACCAAAAACCTAAACACTCTCCCAAACCCCACTTGTTTTGTTATTAGGTGCTAGCCTGCAGTCACATTCCCCATTTCCTGGCTGGAGTGGTTAGGTGTTCTGTCTTTGCTGTCTAGCTCTGGCATGAGGTGCACGAAAAGGGACTGAAGAGGAACTTGCTTCCCCTAAGTAATGCATCCTGCAGCAGCACAGGCTTAGGCTGCTGCCTGTCCTTCCTTGCTGTTGGCCTCTTGTGGGGTCGAGCTACGTGTTGAAAAGCTCAGAAAGCCCAGTCCAGAGTTCTCATTTTCAGCTTTTCATGACAATAAGCTTTCTTTCAGACAGTGTGTGTAGTATCCATGGTAACCACAGATAACCCATACTACCTGAAAACCAAACAGTTCCTTTAAAACTTGTCATCCTTAAAGTTTCAAGGTTATTAAGTGAAAATTTTTCATCAAGGTAAGTCAATTAAAAATGTCAAATTATCTTTTTAACATTTTATAGGTCCTTTCAATCTATTTGATTTCACCATTGTTAGGGTCTTTAAATCCTGTTACTTTATATATGAAAAAATCGAAGTCCAGAAAGCTATGAATTCTGTGAAGCTGTGTACCAGATTGGGAGCAGAGCCAAGACCACAGAGATCTGACTAGCCGTAGGATGCATGGTTTGCTGGCCCACGCTAAAGCCACATGGTGTAGTCTTCCCACTGTGGCCATGTGACCTGGTCATCCTGACTTCCTTTCAGGTAGAGTAAACTCTGCACCTCCACTACTTTCTGCCCCCCCCCCAGTTGGAGACTTTGACAGTGCAAGCTATGCTATGACATAATTTGGTCTTGGTCCTTTGTTCTTGGCATTGAGTTCCTAAGACCCTAAAGTCTCCTGCAAGACAGTGCCTTTTGTTCTGTGGCTACTGTCAGATCCCTGAATAATGGCTGGTTATGAGAGACCGAGCCACCCTCTGGGAGATTGATCCTGCCTGTGTGATGAAGCCCTCCAAAAATCTCTGACCTTGGCAGGGTTTGGAGAACTTCCAGACTGCTGAGCATGTGGAAGGTGGAGTGCTCAAAGAGGATGTGGAAGTACATGCTCCTTTTTAGATGCATCTCTCCTGCAACTCAGTATTCTTTTCTAAGTGTAAATGTAAGTAAAGTTTCTCCCAGAGCCATTCTAATGCAGAGTGATGTCATGGGAACCTTTTTACAACTGCGGTATCAGAAAGCACAGGTCAAACCTGAGAGTTTTGATTATGAAGTGGGGGCAGTCTTGGGGTGCTGAGCTCTTAGTTAACCTGTGGTGTTTGTTGCTATCTGAAGTCTTATTTTTTAAGATGGGATACTGGTGTGAAGCCATTAGGAGGAACCTATTTGAATAGCCAAGATGTGAAGTGTAGGGATAACTATTTTTTGAGTCATTCTAGACCAGGTCATTATCAATACAAAGATAAAAGTGATGTTTATTGTGCTACTTTGTCCTAATCCCAGTGTAACCTAACTAGCTATCTCCAGGAGCCTCAGATTTTATTTTTTGCAAACCTGTCAGCAGGCATTGCTAACCAACAGTGCCATCTAGTGGACAGTGAGAAACTTGTTCTTGTGGGCACTGTGGCCTAGGTGGGTTATTTAGTCTTCTGCAGGTTTAAGGCTGGACTGTGCCAATGGCCATCAGAGGGTGGTCTAGCTGAGGTCTTACTTCATGGAAAATGCAAATGTCTTTAAGAAGACAAGTCCACCACGTTAGTGCAGGCAGGGGCTGTAGACTTGCACATTTGTTTCCTGTCTGATTTGGCCTTTTAGGTCTTGTCTAGGTTTGATCTCAAGAAGGCAGACTCTTAGTGTGTCGACACTCTTAGTGTGTCCCGTAGGTTAGGTTAAAAGTTATCATGAAGGGGCCAGGGCTGTGGCTCAGCGGGTTAATGCCCTGGCTTGAAGTGCCAGCATCCCATATGGGCGCCAGTTCTAGTCCCGGCTGCTCCACTTCTAATCCAGCTCTCTGCTATGGCCTAGGAAAGCAGTAGAAGATGGCCCAAGTCCTTGGGCCCCTGCACCCGCATGGGAGACCCGGAAGAAGCTCCTGGCTCCTGGCTTCGGATCGGCCTAGCTCAGGCTGTTGCTTTCATTTGGGGAGTGCCATCGATGGACGACCTATTTCTCTCTGCCTCTCTTCTCCCTGTGTAACTAGACTTTCAAATAAATAAACACATCTTTTAAAAAAAAATTATCATGAAGCAGAGTTGGTCCAGCTGAAGAGGTGGTTTGCTGATCTTTTGGAGAAGCTGGCAGTCAAAGCAGGCCTCTTTCCCCACTTTACACTGGATATTTGCTTGGGACCTGGGAAGGGGCTATAAAGAGCCAAAACCAAAAAGCAAATCCCTTAGTTGGTCACTAGTAACTATCTCATAGTAAGAGTGATATGTACGTATATATAGGCAGAGAAATCTCAGTTTAAGTCAGTGTAATCTGTATATAGACACCAGTTAACAAATATACTTAATGAACAGCATCCTTCTGCCACTAAAACTACGAAGTAGCTGGTGTACTTGTAGCCTTCATAGAAGTAGTAGAAATCAGAGGGTGGGGAAATGGCTTTCTAGGTAGAGACTGGCATGAACAAAAAGCAGGGAATTAGGAAGGATGGTCACCGAGTAAGCTGGATCAGAATCAGATCATGGTGGGACACTTAGGAGTAGATTATCTTTCAGTTTCCTAAAAGTGAGGGGGTCTTGGTCAAGTTCTAGTCTTGAGGAGTGAAAAATATTGGAGTAGGCCCACAAGGTTAGGATTGTTCAATACCAACAATCCAGTTTTTTCCTGCTTCTTTAGTGTGGTCACAAAATTAGGAAAAAAAGGGGTGGGGTACTTCAGGTATGATGAAGGGTGAGGGAATCGATACAGTGTCTTGAATGCTAGCAAATACAGATTACAAAATGTACAGAAAGAAAGGCTGCATGACAGATTAGTTAGAGAGTAGGTAAGGGTGAAGGACTAAAGCCTCATGAGGGGTGCCCAAAGGTAAAGAATCATGGGAAAGGGAGGCTGTAGTCTGAGAGGTTTGATCTGAAGAACCAAACAACTCCTTTCAAGTCGCTGGTTTTTTTGGCTGTAGCTCAGATACTTCCCTATCCTTATGAGGAAACAGCTGTCCAGGGAAGAGCCACACAATTGAAACAGATGTTTACACTGCTAAAAAATCTTTAGTTTCGGTGTTAAAACTAAAAGCTCTGTGGAGGCAGAAAGATTAAATAGGGCAACAGGGACAGTTATTCTTCTTAGATAACTTTCACTTATTTGTAATACCCAACACTTTGGGTATTGTAGTAAATGCTAGAAGAACCCTTGTTTTGATCTTTAAAGTTTGACGAAACATAATGCTTGAGGAATTTGGTTGGATTTTTGAAACGTATGCTTATTTAATGGAACATACAGAGTATGCTCACAATTTGAAATGCAAGAAAACATTCTCAGTTTTCCTGCTTATTGTTTTGTCATAGTACAAAGCTATTCAAAATGTTTGAGTTACATTTTTATGATTAAATAATAGAAAGGTATATCAATTTTAATACATTATCCTTGCTCTGGAAAGTGAGAAAAATGCAAAGAAAAGATCTGAGAAGTAAACCTATAATAGTGGTCACTTCTTAAGAGGAAAATCACCGATACCCCTTTCCCACATATTCTTTTTTTTTTTTTTTTTTTATTTATTTTTTTATTTTTGACAGGCAGAGTGGACAGTGAGAGAGAGAGAGACAGAGAGGGAAAGGTCTTCCTTTGCCGTTGGTTCACCCTCCAATGGCCGCCGCTGCAGCCGGCGCACCGCGCTGATCCGATGGCAGGAGCCAGGATCCAGGTGCTTTTCCTGGTCTCCCATGGGGTGCAGGGCCCAAGCACCTGGGCCATCCTCCACTGCACTCCCTGGCCATAGCAGAGAGCTGGCCTGGAAGAGGGGCAACCGGGACAGAATCCGGTGCCCCAACCGGGACTAGAACCCGGTGTGCCGGCGCCGCAAGGTGGAGGATTAGCCTATTGAGCCACGGCGCCGGCTCCCACATATTCTTAATCTTGATAAATCAGGAACATAAAATCCCTGCAGGTAAAAATTTTTGATACATAAAAACTGTATTTGTGGGGTACCATGTGGTGTTTCAACAAATACACATGATGTAATGTTCAAATTAGGTAAATGTAACTCCCCTTGCCCTTCAATTTTTAAGACTCAAAAACTGAGCTCAAATCAATTAGTAAGTGGTGGTTACCCTAGATAAGCCCTCTCCCTACAGTTGAGTTCAGATCACAGAACGTCCCTGGCTCCAAAGCACCACAGAAAATGTGTTAAGTGCTAGGATCACAACTCTGAGAATTTTTCAACTGACTTGAAAAAATCAGTGAACCACTCATAGTTAGAAATGTGTATGGAATACTTGAGAACACAATGTGCTTTAACTCAACATATATGAACGATTACGGTGGACCAGTATATCCCTCTGTTGTTCCTCAAAACTTCAACTCACAAGGGATGAACTCGGATTGTCCAGGAGTATGTAATTTCTGGAGCTTAACCTTTAAAACACATTGACAACTGGTCACTGGTCACTGGACTCAATCTAAATGGACTAGTTTTGAATTCCTGAGAATGTGAAAAGTGACACCACATTCAACAGACATAATTCTTAATATCCTAGAATTTATTTCTGAAGTCCTGTGGTATTACCAGCTTAAGAAAGCTTTGATTTTAATTATCTTATTGCAGTGAGTTCAGCTATAACTCTGCTTTCAATGTACAAATTTGTTCTAACATATTAGGGGCTGTTTAGGGGACATTTTTTTTTCTGCTAGAAAAACCTAATTTTCACATCCAGTTAAGTCTCACAGAAAATAAATCATTAGCCAAAAGAAGCCATTTAATCATTTGAGGCACATTTGCCAAAATGGCATTACAGCAAACGCTCAAAGTTAAAATCATTTGAAATATCCCTAAGCCTGATTTTTTTTCCCTCAAAAACTGTCACCATCCAGCCTTGAAGTGTATGGAATTAATGTGAAAAGCAGCTGCTGGGTGGTGGTTGGCATAAGAGCTTACATGGAGCTCACAGATGGTGGACATAGAAGATGCAGCTTGGCCTGATCAGTGTATTTCAGGTAAGAAGGAAAGGCTGCCTTTGATATCCTACAGATGTCAGTGGAGGGCTCATATTTGTGATTTAAAAGTTAGGATTTGTGAGCTAGGTCAGCTATTAAAACCAAGACTTCAAATTAAATACATTTTCCAAGGCCATACAGTAAATACCAGAACTTTAGTTCAAACCCTGCTTGCAGACTTGGGCTCTTGTCTACCCCCAAGTAGTACGCATGTCCAAAAGAGGGAGAGCTGTGGAACAAGTCAATTTTTGATAAAGTCCTTTTAATGGAAAATGTAAAACCCCTTTCAACTTTAATGTACAAAGCCATATGTAACACTTGCACTTTAACAAAAGCAAGCCAATGTTTTAAAAAAATACATCATTAAATGTATATATGTATATATTTACATAGCATATTAAGTTTAATATTTAGCTTTAAAAGTTCACATAAATTTTACCAAAATGAGACAATTTTAAATAAATTACACCTTTTGAAAATGTTTAATTGTACAGTCAATAGCTTCAACAAAATATTGAAGTGTCTGTATTTAGTTTCTACGTTACATACTTATATTATCTTACAAATTTTACAGTTATTTGGCAGTAATTTTCTGATTACAACATGACTGCTGTGCGATTCAGCAATTTCCCAAATACAGGCAATAGCTGGTGTTTGTGTCCTATTCTCACAGTAACTGTCTCAATGTAGTGAAAAATATTGGTTATTTTAGTAAACTGTACAAGGTCACATTTACACTTGATCAACAATATAGCATAGAATTTAGGTTTTTTTTTTTTTTTTACCAAAAATAAATACATCATTTTAAATCTGGCATCTTCACAAATATCATATACACTATAATACAAAAACAGCTATGTGGAACTGTTTTTTTTTTTTTAAACAATTTACCTTGTTTCGTCGTAACTAACATTGAATCACAGTAGCTGTGACATAATGCTATACTGCTGTGGTGTCAGTAACAAGTAATTACTACAAAGAGAATTTCTTGGCACTGATGGTTTTATGAAGCTTAAGTCAGTGTGCATACATATCATCATTCAAAAATAAGTAATACCAGGTCAATGGCCTAAAAACATCAAACTGGACAGCACTTAATTTTCCTCCATGTCTTCCACTTCATCTTCATGTATCTTCAAAGCTCTCACCATTTCTTTGACTGCATGATATAATATATTTTTAACCTGAAAAAAGATGTTGACATTTCCAATCACATGAGTTGGAGCAACATTAATAAACGACAGCTGCCAGATTTAAAAAAATCATAATGGGGACCAAGGGGAAGCCAAATTTAAGAAAAAGTCAAGGTTTTAAGTATTAATAAATGAAAAGTTAAAATGCCACTGACATTCACACAGTTAAAATGTTTTTAATTCATTTTTGGTTATTCTAATGTGACAAATTAGACAATGACTATGTAAGCTGTTGAAATCAGCATAACAGGGTCTGGTAGGAACATCTATTTCTTACCTGTAGCTTATCATCATAATTGATTTCCTCCTTTAAAAGCCTCAGCTCTTGTGTTAAGTGAAATGACTGTACAAGATGTTCTGGAGACACAAAGTCCTCAGTTACCTGAATACAGCTGTGAAAATTCTGTACCTGTCCCCAAAAAAGAAATGATGAAATATGAATTTTAAGAGGTAGGAGCAAAGAAAAGCCAAGTTATCTAAAACAGTTAAACACAAGGACACTTTTGTTGGAGAATTATCTTTTCTAAAACAAATGGATTAACAAAGTAGAAGACCAAAGTGTAAAGTGAATATAAATGAAATAATTTTAAATGACACATTTTTCTAGGAATTCTTTGGAGATGTTGATAATTAGATCCTAAATTACCAATTTTATCGAAGTGGATTTTTTTTATTACTTAAAAAAAAACCACTACGAAGAATCTACCAGGGCACTCAAATTGAGTATGTCTGTTGTTGGTCCTCTACCTTTCAGCAATTTGGTCACTTCACTCTTCTTACACTACAGAAGAAAGAAAGAGGAACTAGGATGAAAACTAGTTTTATAGACCCATTGACCGCAAATGAATTTCAGAATTATCCTACGATTTTTTTTTTTTTTTTTTTGGTAACCAGGCTCGACCCTGCTGAACTTACAAGATTAGATGGGACCAGACACATTCAAGGGTAGTTTGATCATAGATAGGATTTTAGTTATCTCAACCTTTCTTTGGTAATTTTCTTTCAAATTAACTAATTAAATCTGTGACATCAGTATGACTTTTTTTTTTTAATTGGTTTTCACAAGAAGCTAGTCAATAGTCTTACCTGTTACGTGTTCAGTATTTCTTAGAACTGCTTTCTATTAATGCTTAATATAACAGAGGAAGGCCGAAGCTAATTCTATCTGGAATTTTTTTCCCAGGGACTTTCTTCCAGTGATGTTTGAAAATAACTGGAAGACTACTTTTAAATGTATTTTATATTCATTGCTGATCACTTGAAAATATTTTTAAAAGTTTGCAAAACAGATTGAATTTCGGGGAGTTAGGTGGAGGTACTAGTTAATGGGAAATGGAGAGGGGAATTAGGAATCTGATGACAGGGTGATGGAACTCCAGAGGGGCTAAATTCTTCTTCTGGGTGTAGTAAGCACTTGGAACAGCTGCTGAACCCTGCAGTTCTTTAACGCAAGCACCACACCACACCTCTTACTGAAACCTGGTAGGATACACAGCAAACATTTTCTTTCTTGTGATGAGATCAGGTGCCTTTAGGGTGGTATGGCTGTAGGCAAATATTGTCTTATCATTAGTCTTTTTTTTTTTTTTTTTTTAAGATTTATTTATTTGTTGGAAAGTCAAAGAAGGAGAGGCAGAGAGAGAGGGAGGTCTTCCATCCACTGGTTCACTCCCCAATTGGCTCAACAGCCGGAGCCGTGCCAATCTGAAGCCAGGAGCTTCTTCTGGGTTTCCTACATGGGTGAAGGGGCCCAAGGACTTGGGCCATCCTCTACTGCTTTCCCAGGCCGTAGCAGAGCTGGATCGGAAGTGGAGCAGCCGGGACTCGAACCGGCGCCCATAAGGGATGTGTTGGTTCCTTTTGAAGATGAATGGAGAGCACCTCACATTTTCACATTTCTGTACAGTCACACTGGCCCCTCATTATGTGTCTATATAATAGATGCTCTATTTAAAAGAGCAAGAAACAGGATGAGGTATTCAATGCCCATCCAAAGATAAATCAGCCAATAAATGGCAAGTCAACAGGCCCCTGATTCTTGTGATGTTTGGTTTAATAGATGCTTTATTACAGCCCTGTATCAATTCCCTTCATATAGTCTCCAAAGGCTTCTCTCATAGCCTAGCACTTAAATGAACATGCTTTGGGTCGTTAATCCTCCCAAAGTTTTAGTATGTGACTTTTGGTATGTCCTAAATATGACTGGCCTTTTTTTCCTCAATATTTCTGTTGTGCTCACCATCATTAGCTTGGGTTTCTTTTAGCTCTTTGACAGCTTTAAAAACAGTTGTCTAGTAAGTCTGATGCAGGAGCATCTTCAGGAGAGGTTTCTATTTTCTCTCTCTGTACAGGCCACACTTCCTTTTTTCTGTGTATGCTTTTTAAATTTTTATTGAAAACCAAACATCTTGGGGAGGGCTAAGCCACCTCTTGAGATACTCACATCCCACATCAGAGTGCTTGTTGGAGTCCTGACTGCTTCCAGTCCAGCTTCCTGCTAATGCACCTAGGAAGGCAGCGGACACTGGCCCAAGTACTCAGGGTCCCGGACACCTGTGTGGGAGTTTTGAATAGAGTTCCTGGCTTTGGCCTGGCCCAGCCCTGGCTGTTGTGACCATTTGGTGAATGAACCACATTTTTTCAGACAATTCAATCAATCAAGCTTTAAAAAAATAGAAAACTGAGCATCTGAACATTATAATGTGTTAACTGAGTAATCAGATTCTCTCCTGCCTCGATTTGCTGTTGATTCTAGGGTGTGGTCAGTTAGTCACCTAACAGATTTCCTTAAACACCCCAAACTGACTTTTTTTTTCATAAAAGGGTTTCCTGTTTGCTATGAGTTTTGGATTGGATTCTAAAATTCTGAAAAATTTGGTTCTGTCAGTCTTGACCAGGACATAGTTGCTGTAAAATGACTAACAAGTGACTTTTATTAGTGCTCAGAAGATGTGGTTATGTTTTCTAATGATCCCTGCCTGTAAATGTGCTTAAAGGCTTGAGAGTATCTGATGAAGCAGGGTTTTAAAGTGGAACACAAGCCGGCGCCGTGGCTCAATAGGCTAATCCTCCACCTTGCGGCGCCGGCACACCGGGTTCTAGTCCCGGTTGGGGCGCCGGATTCTGTCCCGGTTGCCCCTCTTCCAGGCCAGCTCTCTGCTATGGCCAGGGAGTGCAGTGGAGGATGGCCCAGGTGCTTGGGCCCTGCACCCCATGGGAGACCAGGAAAAGCACCTGGCTCCTGGCTCCTGCCAGGATCAGCGCGGTGCGCCAGCTGCAGCGGCGGCCATTGGAGGGTGAACCAGCGGCAAAGGAAGACATTTCTCTCTCTGTCTCTCTCTCACTGTCCACTCTGCCTGTCAAAAAACAAAACAAAATCAAAGAAAAAGTGGAACACAAATGACTTTCCATTCCACTTATCTTTGCTGTCTCTGAGTTGTTTATCTATCACTTCCTTAACAGATACTATCTTACTTGTACTTGCCTTTAAAGGATCAGCTATAGTTATAAATAGGTAATGTTAAGAAAATGTAATTCTTTTATGTTCATAGTAGGAAGGTTATAATCTGGGGCTATTTGTGAGAACTCAGTGTAGAAAGATTCTGCCCAAGTCCTTTTGGTCATAAAAATGCAGAGGACTTACAACTTTAAAATATAACCTTGTAAATGACCAAACACAATTAAGTTAACGTTGAGACAAAGCTAGTAAAGACAAAATTAGTAGATTCTGTATTAACACAATTTTAAATTAGGGTATTAGGGGAGACCTCATTGAGAAAGTGACATTTGTGCAAAGCCTTAAAAGAATATAAAGAAGCAAGTCTAACAGATACTGAAAGGAAGGAAATTCTAGACATAAGGATTACAGATACACAATGTTTGGCTTATGTGAAAATAGCAGAGGGCAGAGTGAAAGGTTTAGGAGAGTAGCAGCAGAGAAAGAATGCTGAGTATACTGGGGGTAGGTATGTGTATAAATGTCTGTAGGAACAGGGTAGAGAAGACTGTTTAGAAGTTTGTGGGTCTTTGAGCAGTGATCTGTGAATTTTAAACAGGATCACTTTGCACATTACTATTTGGAAAGGATGGCTCCTCTAGTTGCTCACTGCCTCCCCAAAAGGAGAGGCAGCAAGGGGACAAGCATGGCATCTCCTGTGGTAACAACTGCCTCTGGAGCAAAAGTCAGAGATTGAATTTTTACTGTGAATCGTTTTATACTGTTTGGAAAATGTAATACATTTATATGACTAAACAAATTCAAAGAAAAATTTAATAGCCTTTGGGGCTGACACTGTGGTGTAGCAGGTAAAGCTGCTGAATCCCGCATGGGTGTTGGTTTGAGTTCTGGCTGCTCCACTTCTGATCCAGCTCCCTACTAATGTGCCTCGAAAAGCAGCAGCAAATAGTCTAAATCCTTGGGCCCCTGCACCTATGTGAGAGACTGGGAAAAATCTTTGGATCTGCCCAGCTCCCCCATTACAGCCATCTGGAGAGTGAACCAGTGGATGGAAGATTGATTTCTCTCTATAGCTCTTTCAAATAAGAGTTGTTATTGGAAACAACCCAAATATACTTCTTCAGCTGGTAAATGGATAAACCAGTAATTTTTGAATGGAAAAAGAAAATGAAATGAACTAACTACCCAGCAATACAAAGGAACCAACTGATATATACAACATGGATAACTTCAGTGTATTACATTAAGTAAGGAAAGCCAGGCTCAAAGAATACATATTGTGTAACATTTTCATCCAAGCAGAATCTATAGAGACAAATAAGGGTTTCAGAAACTCTAGGTGGGAGAAGAAACTAGAAACAAACTTGCAGAAGGAAATGAAGGCACTATCCTGTGTTTTGATTGTGTTATCTCTATTTTGAAAAACCTACAGAATTGTACATTGAAAAGGGTCAATTTTATTGCTTGTAAATTACAGTTCAGTTTTTAAAAAGCTATCACACTGTTCAGTTTAGGAAAACTGACTGTGGTTGAGTAAATAAATAGGGATTCTCAAGGGAATCTGATTTGTACTACTAAAGGTACTCCTATTTACAAAAATATTTACAATAAAAATTCCCTTAAATGAGTTGCTTTTCAAGAGAGGCATTTAAATTTGAATACAGCTGTTTTCTGTTAACAGGGAGAAAGCAACAAAATGGTATGTGGCATGAATCCCAATTAAACATGACTGGTACTGGATTCATCTCTGCAATGATCCAAAACCCATGAGAGAATACAACCATTTAACCTAAGTATGTTTTCTCCTATGTAGATACTGTATAGAAAAAGGTAAATTTATTATGGACATTTATATTTTACTATCCTAAAATGCTATTTGAGATCTTTTAAACACACACACACACATCTATTTGCTGGTTTACTCCCCAAATGCATGCAATTGGCAGGGCTGGGCCAGCCTGAAGCCAGGAGCTTAGAACTCCATCTGGGGGCCGGTGCCGCGGCTCACTAGGTTAATCCTCCGCCTTGCGGCGCCAGCACACCGGGTTCTAGTCCCGGTCGGGGTGCCGGATTCTGTCCAGGTTGCCCCTCTTCCAGGCCAGCTCTCTGCTGTGGCCAGGGAGTGCAGTGGAGGATGGCCCAAGTGCTTGGGCCCTGCACCCCATGGGAGACCAAGAGAAGTACCTGGCTCCTGCCATCGGATCAGCGCGGTGCGCTGGCCGCAGCGGCCATTGGAGGGTGAACCAACGGCAAAGGAAGACCTTTCTCTCTGTCTCTCTCACTGTCCACTCTGTCAGAAAAAAAAACAAAACAAAACAAAACAAAACAAAAACTCCATCTGGGTCTCCCACATGGGTAGCAGGGTCCCATGCACTTCAGCCATCATCTTCTACCTCCCAGGCAACATGAGCAGTAAACTGAATTGGGTAGAGTGTGGCTGTGGCTCAGATCTGCATGCTGATTCAGGAACTGGGTATCTGGAATTGAGACTTAATATGATACATCACAACAGTTGCCCCTCATTTAAGATTTAAGAATGGTAAACTTGACTCTGAACACTAAGCAATAATATTTATGCAAAATAGTGTCACAAATATTAAACAGGTAGTGACTGTATATATTATAAAATTTTGAGAACTTCCTCAGTAACTGAGCAGTGGATAGAAAGGCTGGGAACCAACTCTGAGGTAAAATAGCTTTTTGAGGTCTTCAGTTTGACTTGTAAGCTGGGCTGTGTTAGCCCCATTCCCCCTATCAGAATCCATTGTGTGCTTCCATACCCACCATCTAGTTTATGCCATTTCTACAAGTGCCACACATGAAGTTTCAGAAATAAGGATTAGGTGCTTATTTTAGTGGATCAATAGATACATAAAACTACATACTATTTTTCTTTGCATAGTTTGCTAAAAATAAGTAGCTCTCAATTTTAAACCTTACTATTATTTTATGAATGATGTCTATCCCCTAAAAGAGGTCTTAAAAATTAGATTTCAGCCCATTAAATCAGAGACAGTATATAAGTGGAAATCTGCCTTATGTTAAAACATTTTAAGTTCCCAAAGTATTTAATTATTCCAGATTTCTTCAAGCACTGGCATGCCATTTAAGTGATGTAATGAAAGTAGGCCGGTGCATCCTGTCATGTCTTCCATCATTTACGAGCATACCTATAAAGATGATTTCTTCTACAAAATCAGTTCTTTTAGATATGGAGATTTGAGAAGCTTGGCTATACCTGATGAAGTGCTCCTGCTGGTAAAACAATGGCATCACCAAGAAACTGAATAAGAGTGCATGTTCTGACTCCATACTCTTCAAGCAGCCTTTGGCGGAGCTTTCTGTTCACATACCAACTTTGGTCACGTATTGGATCATGTTCTGGTGGAACTTCAAGGCCCTGTTCTTTTGAAATCTGAAATATGGATTAAAATAAAAATATACCCTCAATTTAAGAGAAATGGTAAATCCTGTTCAGTTAAATTGCAATTTTATTTACAACAGTACCAATCTTTTGTCCTCTGAATGTTATGAAACAATGACCACACGTAAGTTAAAATATTCTGCAATAATCTGAAAAGCCAAAGGATACTAAAGCAATACAGCACATTGGAAAGCTGTAAACATTGTGAATCCTGCTCCCCTCTCACTACCTCCTTTCACTATGAAGTTGCCATCCATCTGGTTTCCTTGTAATATTTTTCAAGAGTAAAATACATAGATGAGGAAAAGCTTAGTTTTATTTTTTTCCCAAAATATTCACATGTATGGATTTCATAAACACTACTTGATCCCTTTTTTTGTTTGTATAAAGAGCTACTTTATTTAAAAAGGCAGAGGGAGAGAACTTCCATCCACTGGCTCACTCCCTAGATGGCCCCAACTGCTGGGACTGGGCCAGGCAGAAGCCAGGAGTTTCACTGGGGTCTTCCACATGGGTGGAAGGAGCTCAAGTACTTGGGCCATCTTCCCCTGCCTTCCCAGGCAAATTAACAGGGAGCTGGATCGAAAGTACAGTAGCTGGGACTTGAATTGGTGCCCCTATGGGATCTCAGGCAGCAGCTTAACCTGCTATGCTACAGTGCCAGCCAGGATCACTTTTTTAAGGTAATATTTAGAGATAAATATTTTCATAAATAAGACTAACCTTTAACACTTTTTAAAGATTTATTTACTTGAAGGCAGAGTAACAGAGAGAGATATGTAGTGAGATGGATTTTCCATTGACTGGTTCATTCTACAAATAGTATCAATGGCCAGGCATGGGCCAATCTAACATCAGGAGTCTGGAACTCCATGCTCGTCTCCCATGGGTGTAGGGGCTCAGGGACATGGGCCATCTTTCACTACTTTTCCAGGTGCATTAGCAGGGAGATCGATCAGAAGTGGAGCAGCTGTGTCTCAAAACTGCTGCCCCAATGGGATGCTGGTGTTACAGCCAGCGGCTTAACCCACTACACCACAACCCCAGAACCAAACCCTTTAACTCTTGAAAAGTCTATCTCGGGGCTGGTGCAGAGGCACAGTGGGTTAGGGGCCAGTGCTGTGTTGCTAGTGGGTTAAAGCCCTGGCCTGAAGCACCGGCATCCCATGTGGGCACCTGTTTGAGTCCTGGCTGCTTCTCTTCCAATCCAGCTCTCTGCTATGGCCTGGGAAAGCAGTCGAAGATGGCCCAAATCCTTGGGCCCTGGCACCCACCTGGGAGACCTGGAAGAAGCTCCTGGCTTTCTGGCTTTGGATCAGCACAGTTCCGGCCAATGCGGCCATCTGGGGAGTGAACCAGAAGATGGAGGACCTCTTTCTCTGTCTCTAGCTCTAACTCTTTCAAATAAATAAATAAAAATAAAAAAATCTTAAAAAAAAAAAAAAAAGACCTTGACCTGAGGTGCCAGCATCCTATGTGGGCCAGCTGCTCCTCTTCTGATCCAGCTCTCTGCTGTGGCCTGGGAGGGCAGTGGAGGATGGCCCAAGTCCTTGGGCCCCTGCACCTGCATGGGAGACCCAGAAGAAGCTCCTGGCTCCTGGCGCAGCTCTGGCCATTGCGGCCATCTGGGGAGTGAGCCAGTGGATGGAAGACCTCTCTCTCTGTAGCTCTGTCTTTCAAATAAATAAAATAAATCTTTAAAAAAAAAGTCTATTTCAAAAGGTTCTCATACTAATCAATGCAATAGTCTTCTGCTTTTCCGGGAGCACAAATTATGGGTAGGTGTTGTGGTGCAGTAGGTTAAGTGGCTTTTTGGGAGACCTGCATCCTATTTCAGAGCGCCTGATTTGGGTCCAGGCCACTCCATGCTGATCCAGCTTCCTGCTAACAAGCCCAAGAGGCAGCAAATGATGGCCCAAATACTTAGGTTCCTGATGCCCATGTGGGAAACCTGAATTAGTTCCAGCTGTTGTGAGCACCTGGGGAGTGAACCAGAGAATGGAAGATATCTCTGACTCCTTCTCTATCTTGTTATTCTGTTTTTTCCAAACTAATTTAAAGAAAAAATAGTTTTAAATAGCATTTTGGATTAATATATTCTTCATTTCACAACAATTAGTGTCAGAACTTCCAAACAGCAGCAGTGAAGATCCCTGAAAATAAATCCCCATAACTACAAAATGTATAAAATATTTGAGCAAAGGGCTTGAACCAATTATTTCAAGTAGTGTCAATTTCCTCCCTTATTTCAGTTTAGGGCCAAACAACTTAATTAAAGATATGACTATTCAGAACTGCAGTCTACTTAATTAAGTATCCTATCACAATCAGATATGATAGAGCAGATTCACTGTGTAACAGCCAAAAATATCAGATTTAAAAAAAAGGATCCTGGGGCCAGCGCTGTGGCTCACTTGGTTAGTCTACTGCCTGCGGCGCCAGCATCCCATATGGGTGTCGGGTTCTAGTCCCAGCTGCTCCTTTTCCAGTCCAGTTCTCTGCTGTGGCCCAGGAGGGCTGTGGAGGATGGCTCAAGTGCAAGGGCCCCTGCACCCGCATGGGAGACCAGGAGGAAGCACCTGGCTCCTGGCTTTGGATTGGAGCAGTGCCGGCCATAGCGGCCATTTGGGGGGTGAACCAACGGGAGGAAGACCTTTCTCCCTGTCTCTCTCTCTCTCTCACTGTTTATAACTCTGTCAAATAATTTGAAAAAAAAAAAAAAAAAAAAAAAAAAGGATCCTACCTTCTTTACGTATTGCCAACAAAAGAATTAGCTCTCATATTCTCTAACTCCCAGTACCTATTTTTGAATACTCAGCCAACACGTGGCTCATCAATAGGTTAATCCTTTACTATAATGGGATAGTGGAGCTCTAGCAACTGAGAACAAACTGTCATTCAAACCCTCAAATCAAACAGGCTTTCAAAGGGAGCTTTTGACATAAAACAAAAACCCCTATCTCTTTTGAAGTAAAAATTATTTAATGGTTCCATACTGCTGAATGCCAAACAAAGTTGCATTAACAAATTAAGTCCTTGATAAAGGTGAGCAAACTTTTTACAATCTAAATAATACCTTTTGAAGAAATTCCCTTATCTTGTCAACATCTTTCCCAGCATAAATATGCCACAGAGCACCAGGTGTTTCACTTGAGTCCTTCAATCTTTTCCTTAAAATGTCATCCAGATCTTCCTCTTCAAATTTCTTGAGTATTCCTAAAACACAAGAGAATATATTTTCTTTTCCTTCATTTTTAAAATTTATTTAATTGAAAGTAAAAATTATAGCGGTGGGGGAGGGAGGGAGGGAGAAAGTGCATGCAAGAGTGAGCCCACGTGGCTGAGGCTGGGCCAAGTGAAAACCAAGAGCCAAGAATTCCATCTGGGTCTTCCACATAGGTGGTAGGGGTGCAAGCACTTGAGTCATCTTCCACTGCTTTTTCAGCGGCATTAGTAGGAAACTAGACTGGAAGTGGAGCAGCCAAGACTAGAACCAGAGCTCCAATATGGGATACCAGCATTGCAAGTGGCAGCTTAACCTACTGTGCCATGACAGAGGTCCCCTGGATCAGTGAGCAATCAACCCCAGTGACATATGCAAAACTCTTAGAACTATAAGAGCAGAGAACTGGAGATTCTGTCTCTTGTGCAACAGTTACTTCTAGAGTTTGTTTTTTGCAAAGCAAGGAGCAGGAGGTAGAATATTCAAGAGCTCCTCAAATTTAACCAACCGGCTACCTGTCTCAAATGGGTGGTCCTAACAATGATGTATATTCACAATGTTTTGCATTGCAAAAGACTTTTATAATTAATTAGTTGGCCCCTATAATTAGTAAGGCAGACACACAACCTTCACTTTTCACCTGAATAAAAAGGTTCACTGAGGTAAAGGGATTTGCTCATTACCATGACTACTGAAAGGCAGACCAAAATATATTTGGGTTGGGGCCGGTGCTGTGGCAGAGGTGTAAAGCTGCTGCCTGCAGTGCCGGCATCCCATATGGGCGCCAGTTCCAGATCCGGCTCTCTGCTTTGGCCTGGGAAAGCAGTGGAAGATGGCTTAAGGCCTTGGGCCCCTGCACCCGCATGGGAGACCCAGAAGAAGCTCCTGGCTCTGGAATGGCCCAGCGCCAGCTATTGCAGCTAACTGGGGAGTGAACCAGCAAATGCAAGACCTTTCTCTCTCTGTCTTTCCTTCTCTGCGTAAGTCTTTCAAATAAATCCTAAATAAATTCCTATAGGATCTCAAATTTTAATCTGTAATTAAATGCAAATGCTTCACAAATAACAAACTGTAGATTTGAGGAACCAGTCCAACCTTCCAAAGTGTTTGCAAATAAAATTTCCTACAAACACACACACACACACACCCCTGAGATATTTACATAAAAAATTTTGGAAGTATACAAATTAAAATATTCATTATAAATCTAGGTGTGTAATTATAGGAGGATTTTTGACTTACTCATGTACTTCAGCAAACATTTTAAATAAACGTCTTTAAGAGAAAAACCTACTGCTACTGTTACAAAGGATGTATATGTTGTTTCCTTACATCTGTGAGTAAAATCCTTTTAATATTCAAACTTGCAAGGAATTCTTAATTCCAATATTTATGAAGTGTTTACTATATGTCAGACACTGTCCTAGGATGTAGACAAATTTGACATAAGAAAAGATCTAGTTTGGGGCCGGTGTTGTGCAGAAGGTTAATCTGCCCCTCGAAATGCTGGCGTCTCTTGTGGGCACTGGTTCGATACTGACTGCTCCTCTTCCAATGCAGCTACTTGCTAATGGCCTGGGAAAAGCATCAGAAGACAGCCGAAGTGTTTGGGACCCTGCCCCTGATGTGGGAGACCTGGAAGATGCTCCTGGCTTCTGGCTTAGCCCTGGCATTGTGGGCATCTGGAACTGAACCAGCAGATGAAACACTTTTCTTTCTCCCCTCTCTGTAACTCTCGACTTTCAAATAATAAATACATCTTAAAAAAAAAAAAAAAAAGATCTAGTTGGGCTGGCATTGTAGCATCCCGAGTAAAGCCTCCACTTCAGATGCTGGTATTCTGTATGAGCACTGGGTCGAGTCCTAGCTGCTGCACCTCCAATCCAGTTCCCTGCTAATACACCTGGGAAAGCAGCAGAGAATGACCCAAGTCCTTGGGCCTCTGCACCCACGTGGGAGACACCGAGGAAGATCCTGACTTTGGTCTGGCCCAGCCCTGGACATTGTGGCCATTTGGGGAGTAAACCAGTGGATGGAAGATCTCCGTTTCTCCCTCTCTTTCAAATAAGAAAAATAAATCTTAAATTTAAAAAAAAATGACCTAGCCAACACCTCTAATTAAAGAGTCTTTTTTAAAATTAATTAATTTATTTGAAAGGCAGAGCTAAGGAGACAGAGATTTTTCCATCAGCTGGATCACCCCCCAATGGCTGCAACAGCCAGGAGTGAGCCAGGCTGATGCCAGGAACCAGGAACCAGGAGCTTCCCCTGGGAAGGCAAGCTTCCATCCACCTGTTCACTCCCCAAATGGCCACAAAAGCCAGGAAGCCAGGAGCCTGGTACTCCATTCCAGGTCTCCCACAGGTTTCCCACATTGTTGTTAGAGGCGACAGTATTTTGGCCATTCTCTGCTACTTTCCCAGGTGCACTACCAGGGAGCTGGACTGGAAGCAGGGCAGCAGCAGGGACTTGAACTTGTACTCCCATCTGATATGGGACACAAGTGTTGCAAGTGGTGGCTTAACCTGCTATGTCACCACACCTGATTTTATTTTTCTTAAGGGTTACAGTTCAAAATGTTCTTTAGGGGTTTGAGTCCCACTGTTCCACTTCTGTGGGGAGCAACCCGGACTAGACTAAGTTACTGGAATTAAGACTTATTCTATGCATCTGCTCTCCCACAATATGGCGCTGGGAGAGAAGAAAACAGCTTCTACACAGCTGCCTCCAGTTCAATCAATAAACTGTAGGACTTGCTCCTGATTGGAGGAGAGCAGCGTGCTCGGTGTGTGGGCAGCCGAGTTGGGATTGGCGGAGGAGGACTATAAAGGAGGAGAGAGACGGCATGCACCAGGAACATCTAAGGGGAACATCTAAGGGAACACCTGTGCAGCCCCCGAGAGAGCCGGCCGGCGGTGTGCCGCCCCCCTGCGGAAGTGGGGAATGTGGCAGGGGGAACCGCCCTTCCACGGAGGTGGAAGGGACAGTAGCCAACCCGGGAAGAACCAGCAGCAAACCTGGGGAGGGCCGAGCAGACGAAAGAACAGCGCAGGGTCCTGTGTCGTTCCTCCACGAAGAGGGGGAGCGACAACTTCTAATCCAGCTCCTTGCTAACAGGCTCAGAAAGCAGCAGCAGATGGCCCAACTATCTGGTCCCCTGCCACTCACGTGGGAGATCTGGAAGAAACTCCTAGCCCCTGGCTTCAGCCTGGTTCAGCCCTAGCTGTTGTGGCCATTTGAGGAGTGAATCAGCAGATGCACGATCTCTTTCTCTCTCTTTTACTCTCCCTTTCCAAATAAATAAATCTTAAAATTCTCCACTAAAAAATTAAAATGTTCTCTTTTAAAATGACAGTTGATGGTTTTCAAATATATTTTCTTAATAAAACTAAATGTTGCAAGCCTTGAATTGGTTTGCCAACTTTTTCCTCTGTAAATTTTAACACTTTGTAAGAAAGAGTAGAGGAAGATGGGTCATAAAGAAGAGAATGATAGATAATCTGAGTTACATTCTGAACAATGGTAATCTGAGTTACATTCTGAACGATGCATGTAAGAGTTTGCCAGGGACACAAGGAGGAAGAAGAATCACCAGTCAAAGAAAAACTATGTGCTTTTAGTTGGTCAGCATTTCTTGATGTGCTTTAAGTATCAGTGTAATTTTAAAACAATGCTTTATCTGTGACCACCTATACAAAGTGAAAAAAAATTTAGATAAAGAGTTTTTACAAGACCAGATACTATACAAGGAATAAGGGGTGAGGAATGTGTAAGAAAAAGATGAGTAAGAGTTCCAACACTTAAGTACCTGAATGAACAGTAGTAGAGAAAGGTAAGTGTAGTGTAGATTATAGAATAAGTGCTACAGGGGATGATCTGAACAAAATACACTGAGAGGTACAAAAGAAGTAACTGCAGCTTTTTAGGCTTAGAAAGGATAAATAATCTGAACCAGGCTACACATTTCTATGGTCCAGCTAAGACTGTAACTAAAAAAGTGCCTATGACTCTGAAAAGCTTAGGGTGGAGGCAGAGGAGAGGTTATGTATTATAATCAACAGTATAAGTTAAAAGGCTGTGTAACTAATGAGTTTCTACACTTTTGAGGAAGTTTAGGTTGTGTATTATATTCAATGAATATTATAATGAATCTCCATATCCCCAGTCTTTAGCCACTAAGTTGTAGATTTATCTGGCCTCTAGACAAGAATCAACTAAGTGGTGGGTGGAAATCATGCATAGAATTTCTTAGAGGGGCCGGCACTGTGGCATAGCTGGTAAAGCCACCGCCTGCAGTGCTGGCATCCCATATGGGCGCTGATTCGAGTCCTGGCTGCTCCACTTCCGATCTAGCTCTCTGCTATGGCCTGGGAAAGCAGTGGAAGATGGCCCAGGTCCTTGGGACCCAGGTCCTTAGGAGACCTGGAGGAAGCTCCTGTCTCCTGCCTCCAGATCGGCTCAACTCTGGCTGTTTCGGCCTGTTGGGGAGTGAACCAGTGGATGGAAGACCTCTCTCTCTCTCTTTCTCTCTCTCCCTCTCCTTCTCTCTATGTAAGTGTGACTTTCAAGTAAAATAAATAATCTTAAAAAAAAAATTTTTTTCATAGAAAGTGTACATGGGCCGGCGCCGTAGCTCACGTGGTTAATCCTCTGCCTGCAGCACCGGCATCCCATATGGGCACCGGGTCCTAGTCCTGGTTGCCCCTCTTCCAGTCCAGCTCTCTGCTGTGGCCCAGGAGGGCAGTGGAGCATGGCCCAAGTGCTTGGGCCCCTGCACCCGCATGGGAGACTAGGAAGGAGGCACCTGGTTCCTGGCTTTAGATTGGGGCAGTTTTGGCCGTAGCGGCCATTTGGGGCGTGAACCAATGGAAGGGAGACCCTTCTCTCTCTATAACTCTACCTGTCCAAAAAAAAAAAAAAAAAAAAAGGTGTACATAAAAGTAGAAAAGATAGAGAAATAATGTCCATGACTCAAGGTGTCAGAAGCAAGGACCTCTTTTTGAAGAGGCAGTAATTAGCAGTGACATTTCTTATGGAGTATGTGAATAATAAATGGATCAAAAAGAAAGCACTGATTTATCATTATGTGTCAGAGCAGTAGCAGCATAAAGTAGTAGTAGCAGCATAGTAGCAGGCAGATAAAGAATCTGAGGGCAGGAGTAATGGAATAAAAAAAGGTTTGAAGGTGGTTTGCTTTAGAGAAAGAGGGAATAGCTTTGAATCTGCCCCTATTATAAAGAACAGCAGTCAGTAGAGAAGTTGTGACTGTTTAGCTATGTGTTTATAAAGAAGGGGGTAACTGATTGAACAAGGCTTCAGAAAGACATCCAGAGGCTGGAAATTAAAACTATGTATTAGACAGAAAGGCTACTTCTACATATGAGAAAAGACCCCTTCTTCTTCCTGATACTAGAAGAGAAAAAGAATGCTTGAGCCATAAACTAGGATCTAGTTTCTATTCTCCAGTAAATACTTACAGTAAGCTTCATAATACATTTCCATAACAATATTTAATTATACTAAAGGAGCAAATAAAAATATTTATAAAATTAATTTAACTTAAAAAATAGGAAAATTAATCTTCAAGTAATACTGATTAGAATATTACTATATCCTTTGTAGCTCTTTATAGAATCTTTGCTGTTAAGTAATTTATGTGGTTATTCAACTCTTATTCCAAAGACAACTATAAGTTTCTTTACCTGCTTTTGAGAGAATGCCATTTCCTTTTGCTATGCCAACATAGACTAGAATGTTTACAACATCAGAAACTTCAATATGGAGATTTGTTGTTCCTATATCATGATCTTTAGCAGCAGCTACACCTGTATATAAAAATAAAATTTTACTTGACAAAACATGTATCTAGTAATATCAGATATCCCCCCCATTAGCTCTATTAGGATAATCTATCAATATAATTTGCATTTTAGTCTCCTAATTTCAAAAAAAACCTGTCCTTAAAAGACATAATAATAAAATGTCCTGTGAAAGTCAAATGTAATAAAAAATGAACCTATTTTGCAATATAATAAATCAGCAGGTACTATTTAATAGACTGTTAACTGTTAAACTGCTTGATATAAAAAAGGGATTTCAATGCATTATTCAAAGGAAAGATTTAGTAGAAACTAAAAATCATTACACAGCTTATCTTTGGACAGAAATCTGAATATACACCTACCATAGGCACTGCACAACCTAGGTCCCAGATCAGGACGTACAAAAAATCCTGGTAAATGAGATGCCAAATTGAATTTTCCTTCTGGATTACAGTACTCCGGCAATGGCAGACATTTTAAAAGATCTTCGTACCTGAGGAATAACAAGATTGCCTTCTTTTATTTATTTTTATTTTATTTGAAAGATGAGAAAGACAGATCAATCTTCCATCTTTTCCTTTTTTTCAAGGTTTATTTATATATTCGATAAGCGGAGTTATAAAGAGGAGATCTACATATCTGCTGGTTCACCCCCTAAATGACCGCAATGACTGGGGCTGGAGCTGGGGCAGGCAGAAGCCAGGAGCCAAGAGCTTCCTCCAGGTCTTCTATGTGGGTGGCATGGGCCCAGGACTTGGGTCATCTTGGGCTGATTTCCCAAGCACATTAACAGGTAGCTGGATTAGAAGTGGAACCAAATGGAACTTGAACCTGCACTCATATGGGATACTGGTGTTGCAGTCTGTGGCTTAACCCACTGCTCCACAGCACCAGCCCCTTCATATGTTGTTTTACTCAAGTAACTGCAAGCCAGGAGTCAGGAATTCTATCCATGTTTTCCACATGGGTGGCAGGAACACAAGTATTGGAGCCATCATCTGTTGCTTCCCACAATGTGCATTAGTAGGAAGGATAAGGAGGAGCCAGGACTCAAACCAGGCACTTCAATATGAGATGTGTGTTTCCTAAGCATGTCTTCACTAGGGTACTAAATGCCTGATCCCATTACTTTCTTTTAAATAAAGACTTGTATTTCTAAAGTGCTTTCAAACATATACATGTTTTTAAAACACTAGAGGGGCAGGTACTGTGGCATAGCAAGTAAAGCCGTCACCTGCAGTGCCGGCATCCCACATGGGTGCCAGTTCAAATCCCACTGCTCCACTTTTGATCCCACTCTCTGCTATGGCCTGGGAAAGCAGTGGAAGATGGCCCAAGTCCTTGGGCCCCTGCACCCATGAGGAAGACCCGGAAGAAGCGCCTGGTTTGGACTGGTGCAGCTCCAGCTGTTGTGGCCAATTGGGGAGTGAACCAGCAGATGGAAGACCTCTCTCTCTTCTTCTCCTTCTCTCTCTCTGTGTACCTCTGACTTTCAAATAAACAAATCTTTTTTTAAAAATCACTAAAACAGTTCCTTAAAACAGGTAACATTCTCCAGACTTCATTCAGAGTTTAAATTAATGTGCTATACATAGGCAAATACAAAAAAGAATTTATAGTACAACTAATTCTGCTTCATTAAACACTAAAAACTAAAAGTTCTAAGAGAAAGGAGGCCCCAAATAGATTATTTTTTTTAATTTGAGAGGCAGGGAAAGAGGGATAAGAAATATGTGAGAGTGTTGCCCATCTGTTGGTTCATTCCCCAAAAGCACACAACAGCCAGGACTGGACTGGGCCACACTGGGCAGAAAATGAGAGTCAGGAAAGTTGTCCCCATGCTAAAGGCTACTGTGATTCAGTTTTACTCTTTATTTATTTAATTTAGAAAGGAAAAACCCTAAAACTTATACTTGTAATTACTTAACCTACCTCTGGGGATAATATCAGTTAAACTTTAAAAAAAATTAAGAGCTAAAAGTTTCAAAGGACATACCTTGCTGGCATCATAGTCTTGAAGTCTTCTCCTGAAGGGCAGTCTTTCAATTTTAAGACAACTGTTTCACCACTTTTGGTTTTCTGTCGTTCTATAAAGAATGCAGTTAATTACTAAAAAGGTAATCTCCATGTTTTTATTTCAATTTTGAGAGTAACAAATTAAATGAATGATTTGATGGCTGTAGAGTACATGCTTAAAGATTTTTACTCCTTATGCATTTATTTAGCATTAAGACTTTTGTCTCTTCTGTACTTAGATAAGGTACACTGCATTGTCCACTTCAGAAAATATTGCAAAAACAATCTCAAAAAAGTCTTTACAAGTAGCATTACAATGTTACATTTACACTTAATTTTCAAAGTGTTACATATAAACTAGACAATTCAACTGTCCTAATTTTATGGGTTACCAAAATTTTACCTTACATAAGGAAAAAGTACAAATAACTTCTTTAATGTCAAAGGAAATTAGTATTATAAGCCAGGATTATGACCCAGTATTTTGTTTCTAAGTACTTGTTTCTTTTTATTAATTAACAATATAATGCATAAGTTTGAAAGTCTAAAATGTCTATTAACTTACATTTGGCACTACAGGTATCATTTTAGGAGTAGAGGATCAAGAAAACAGTAAAATTAAAAAAAAAAAAAACCAACATACTTGACACTTCTTCAAAACCATCCCAGAATTCCTTAACATTGGCATTTGAAATAATGCTGTCTTTGCAGTTCAGGAGATCAGCTTGGTGATCTCCAAAATCAAGACTAATAGAGTCTGCCTTCCACAAGCTTATGTTCATTTTCTTATGTACACCGGAAACTACTGCAGGCTTAGAAAAGATAGATAAATAAATAAGCAGCAATTCAAAGGCATATGGATGCTTCAAAAATTGCTTTTATGTACATACAACAAATGGATAGTAGGTTAAATTTTAGTCCCAATAACAAACTTGTGAGTATAAAAAGCAATTACATATATTATCTATCCTGGAAAAATCATTAACAAATACTGGTAAAGAAATAGATACTTTATTTTTATTTCTATTTTCAAAAGTTTATCTTTTTTTTATTCGTTTATTTATTTGACAGTTACACGAGAAAGAGATGGAAATCTTTCATCCTCAGGTTCATTTCTCAAATGGCTGCAATGACCAGGCTGAGCCAGGTCAAAGCCAGGAGCTTCATCTGGGTCTCTTACATGGGTGCAGGGCCCAAGTATTTGGGCCTTCCTCTGCTGATTTCTCAGGCACATTAGCAGCGAACTGTAGCAGAAGTGGAACAGCTAGGACACGTACTGGTGCCCATATGGGATGCTGTAATCTCAAGCAGCAGCTTAACCTTCCGGGGCCCACAACATTTAACACACTTCTGAAAATATTTATGTGACTGCTTCCTACGTCTAAGGCCCATACAAATTGATTAAATGTTTTAACTTCTAGCCCAATAATGGCATTAGGGATTCAAGGAGATCTAACCTTCTCCCCCAACTCTCCCCCCAAAAAAAGACTAAATCTGGGGCTGGAGTTGTGGAGTAGCTGGTAAAGCCATATCACCTGTAATGCTGGCATCCCATAAGAGCACTGGTTCGTGTCCCAACTGCTCTTCAGATCCAGCTCCCCATTGATGGCCTTGGAAAAGCAGAAGATGGCCCAGGTGCCTGGGCCCCTGCTACCTGCATGGGAGAAAGCTCTTGGCTCCTGGCTTCAGTCTGGCCCAACCCTGGCCATTGTGGCCATCTAGGGAGTGAAACAGCTGACAGAAGATCTCTTTCTCCCTAACTTGTTCACATAAATAAAAAGATCTTTAAAAAGAAACATTAAAGCTGCCATGTGTGTGCGTATATATATATATATATATATATATATATAATGCACAGATATGTGTATTTTTTCAGGGAGACAGACCAATCTTCTATCAAATTTTCAGGGGGATTACTGATCTAAAAAGAATTAAGTACTACTGGACTAAAATGGTTCTTGCTCATTTTTACATAGCTTAATTATTTGTATATCCTTAATGCCTAGCACAAAAACTGGATTTTATTAGGTACTCATTATCTGTTGAGTGAACACAGTAAAATAATGGAAATGGTTTCCAGAAGGCAAGAAATAAATTGAATATGATACTACTATCATGCAAATACTTAGAACAGTTCATAATTTTGGCACTAATGGAGTGAATTTCCATCTGAAAAGTACATCAATCACATTAAAACTCTGGTAAAACAGAAATAACTTATTTTTATTAGGGCAGAATAACATAATTGTTATTCAAGATTTGATGAACTGATTTATAAATAAATGTTCTACAGATAAACATTAAAGGTGAAAATATCTACACCATTTATTGGTTCAAGAAAAATACTTCTAATAATGTCATTTTAAATATATGAATCTGCTAACTGGACTAAAATGCAAATCTAGAGAAAGGAGGCAGGGAATGAATTTTGTAAATATCAGACTTCGTTAAATGTTTGTTCACTGATACATCAAAAGTAAACAATGAGTGCTTTTCTGTTAATTCATACAAATCTGGCCTTTAAACCCAGACATTAAAAACAATTGTTGTGGTAATCTTTTCAGTGTTTCTGATATCCTATTTTCCCTCCTCCAAATCTGTTAAGGAGTATTTCTTCCCCTGTCCCCGAGTACTAAAGTAGGAACCATTCTGTCAATTTAGTCAGTCTCAGTACTACTAAGAGTGTACTTAATTAGCTAAAAATACTCACCTGCCCTTGTTTCCAACACTCTTTGAAAAGTTTCCAATTATTACTATTCTTATAATCCTTAAGCCATAAAATATGCTTCTCACAGATCCAAGAATGTGGTATATCACTGTATTTACTGTTTTCATTCACAGGTTTTCTGCTTTCTTGAGGTTCTTCGTTAGGTTCTGGTTTTACATTTACCTTGGAGGATTTATTTGGTGGAATTTTGTTTTCAACAACTGAAGCAATTATGTCATCAAGAATGTTGGGCATAGTCCGTCCACTTTTGCCACTCTATTAAGGATCAAAGATAAACTTTTGAAAAATTATATTTTGAGAGGAAATGAATTTATTTTCTTCCCATACTCTTATTTTTTTAACTTTGATTTACTACTTCTACAGCAAAGAAATAAAACACACAAATGAAAACCACAATGTCCCTGCATTAAAAAATATGCAGTTATATTACTGGATAAGGATCCCTAATTTTTATACTGTTTCTAGCAGATGGGGACCAGATGATTAGTAATGTGAGAAACTGCCAGGTCTATAAGGTCTAGAAGTATTGACTTCCTATCTTTTACATTATTTTAGTCTCAAGGGAGAAAGAATACAAGTGGGTGAAATCCCATACATACTTTATTTTTATTAAATTTATTTATTTATTTCAAAGGCAGACACATACACATACACACAAAGAGAGAAAGAAAGAGAGGGAGAGAAAGAGAGTGAAGGAGAGACACACAGATAGAAAAAGACACAGATATTCCATCACTGGCTTACTCCCCAAATGTCAGCAACAGCCAGGCTGAAGCCAGGAGCCAGGATCTCAACCCAGATTTTCCACATGAGTAGCACAGACCCAAGTACTTGATTGATCACCTCCTGCTCCCCAGGGTGTGAATTAGCAGAAGGCAAGAATCAGAAGCAAAGTAGTTAGGACTTGAACCTACACTAATATGGGATGCCAGCATCATAAGGAGTAGCTTAACCTACTGCCCCGTAACACTGGTCCCCAAAATTTGATTTAATATGTAGTTATTTACTGTGTAGCTCATAGCCAACGGAAGTCTCTAAAACCATCTAAATTTCAGGTCTACATTAAAACCAAAAATCTGCTCTCATACTCACTGGGGTTCCCATTGAATATACTGGTGCAAAGGCAATGCCAGCATCTGTAGAGCCCACACGTAACTTGCCAGCTGTTGTGGTCAGCAAATCCCGTAAAGTTGAGCCTTGTTCGTTATTCTGAGACACAGGAGGTGATGTTCTGCCATTTGGAGAATCAGAGTTGTCTTGTTCTTGCTCTTCTTTATTTTGCTTATCAAGGTCGGAATCTTTATTTTCTGAAATAAGGCATTTCACAAAATTTTAACAATTAAGCATGGTGTTGAATTACAAAGTAAACTGCCACCTTACACTTTATAGAAGATAAAAATTGTAGCACGATTGAATGAGCTGCCTGAACACAAAATCAAAGGATATCAAGGGTTTAAAAATGGAGAAACATTTTGAACACAAAAAAGCCTTTCTTGATATCTTAAAGCATGTAGCTGGGTTTGTACCTGTCACAAATGAAAAATGCTATAGCTAAAACAAGCAGAAAATTCACACAAGTTATACATCTAGTACCCTGCTGACTTTTTATTTGTATGCTCATCCATAGATGATTCTTTAATTTTGATGCAATCATAAGAGGGCTAGTTCCTAGTGAGAAGACAAATGTTTTATTGAATCTAAGCCTCAATTCAAAGTAAAAGACCAATGGTAATTATTCGTAAAACTATAACCCTCTAATATGTACTTAAATAATTAGTCACATTTACCTTTTTTTTCCTCTCTGGCTTTTTGCTCTGCAAGATCTGCTAACCAGTGTAGTGGGGATTGTGACTCTGGAGGAGTTAACTTGCTATCTGTGCTGACATCGCTCCTTGGGCTGCTGTTGCCACTGTTCTCAGACTTCTCAGCTATATTCTGCTGCTGAGACTCAGGCATGCACAGAGAAATTTTATTACTGTGATTAAGAACATTCTGTAAAACCTACAAAGGTAGAACAAGTGAATCTTTAACCATTATTTCTTCAATGTTGCATAGTTAAAAGTAGTTGTTATTAGAAACATACACAGTAACAAAGAAAACATAATTCATAAAACACAAGTCCTACATTGGATTTCAAATATCAATGTTGATTAATTTAAGAAGGCTTTTTTTTTATTTGAATAATTAGAGATTTTTACTCACTTGAGATACACCATTCATTGTAGGAAAATTTCCACCTTGTAAATTCTGTTTGTTAGTACAATGACAATGGGATTTAATACCATATTTTTCCCTAAGAATGTGCATGGCATCTAGAAGATCTGTCAAAACTACAAAATAAGATGGTATGTTAATAAAAAGATTATCACTAATTGTTAAAACTATACATTTTGTTTTCTTACTATATTTTAAAATTAGAACAGGGGAGGTTTCCTTGTGCCCTTTCAATTTCTTTCAATGCTCTTCTCCATACTATTCCTTCCCTCTATCACAGAATTGATCATCCAATCAAATTCGTCTTTTTCTCTTTAGTATTAAAAATTCAGTATGTTCAAAAATGTCACTAAGCTTTCATTATAAATCCAATAGGTTTTCTCATGTTCTAGTTTTCCTCTTCTAAAATGATTCTTCTATGGCTTGTCTTTCTTCTTTAACACATAAATGATTTGCAATAACTGAGCAAGACAATTCAAGATTAGTTAAATCTTACCTCTACATTCTATTATACTTCCTAGATACTGATTTAGGTGCTTCTTTAATATGAAGCAACTAAGAGATCTTATAATCAAGTAAACAATGTATATTTATACTTACCAGAACCAGGAATAATTTGAGTTGGCATTAAATGTTTGTGATCATGAGGCTGTCCCTTCACACACTTCATCCAAGCATATAGTTCTTTATCTATAAGATAACAAACCTTGTTTTCTATCACTCATGGCTTTACAGTGATAAAACTGATGGCTAATTTCTGTTTGTTGTTTAGCTATTTTCTGTGCCAAACAGCATTTGTGCCTGATCCTAGAATATTACATTGACACAAGTTTTGAAGCTACCACTAATTTATTTTCCTTTTGTGCTTCAAAGACATGTGGAGGAATTGCCAAGAGACATGTGGAAAAGCTAAAAAATAAATAAATAAAAGCTATTGTTGCCTTCAAACAAGGCTCCATATCTGGAGATGTAAACATATTAAGGTTTAGTGTGAAACATACTATTCACAAGAAAAACAGTACTATGACTTCAGGAAAACTTTACAGATTTAATGGCATAGACAACTACTTCAATGTACCTAATAAGGGCTTCAAAATATAATTACAAAGCTTAATAAACTCAGCATGGGAAAAAAATCCAGAACTGATGTTTCATAAAAACTCCAGATTAAATAAAATTCTAATTCAGCCTAAAACTAGTTATGTTACAGTTCTGACTTTCCAAAGCCAACATGGGAACTGCTTACGTATTTTAGATACTTATGTTGACTACCACTATAAAAAGGTATGCACTAAACCTGTGTGTTTATAAATATTTAACAGTGAAGTAAGAAGATACACAGTGATGGGCACTGTGGTGCAGCAGGTTATGCTGCCGCTTGGGACTCTCCCTGCATCCCACATCAGAGTGCAGGTTTCAATCAGTCTTGGTCACTCTGCTTCCAATCCAGCTCTCGGCTAAAAAATGCCTGGGAAGCAGAAGGTGACAGCTCAAGGACTTAAGTTCCTGCCACTCAGGATGGAGTTCTTGGCTCCTGGATTCAGCCTGGCCTAACCCTGGTTATTATGGGCATTTAGGGGGTGAACCAGCAGATGGGGGATACCTCTTTCTCTGTCTTCCCTCTACATCACTCTGCCTTTCAAATAAATAAAAAATAAATAAATCTTGAAAAAAAAAACCCACAAAATAAAAGTTTAGGCAAGGTAGAATTTGAAAGAATGATATGGTCATTAACTGAATATAATTTTAAAACTAATAGCATTGGGCACAGTGTTGTGGTTTGGTGAGTAAAGCCACCGCCTGCATCGCTAGCATCCAATATGGATGCCGGTTTGTGTCCTGGCTGCTCCACTTCCAATCCAACTCCCTAACAACAACCTAGGAAAAGCAATGGAGGATGGCCCAGGTGCTTGGGCCCTCACTAACTATGTGGGAGACCTGGAAGAAGCTCCTCCCTCCTGGCTTCGGTCAGGCCCAGCCCCAGCCATTGTGATCATCTGAAGAGTGAACCAGTGGATTCAAGATCTCGCTCTCTTTGTCTCTCCCTCTCCTTCTGTTACTCTTTCACATGAACAACTAAATCTTAAAAAATTAATAGCATGATGAAAGTCAATAGGAACACAACTTTCAGCTACCACATCTTATTAAAAAAAAAAAAAAGATTCATAGTGGCTTATGCCTATATGCATGCAGTACAGCAAAATAAATTAAAACTAACTTTAAATCTGGCAAAGGAAAATAAAAGTAATATGAAACCATGAAAAAGGAATATAAAATACATGTCATGAAATGTTATGGGGCCAGCACTGGGGTGTAGCAGGTAAAGTCACCACCTGCAGTGCTGGCATCCCATATGGGTGCCGGTTCAAGTCCTGGCTGCTCCATTTCTGATCCAGCTCTTCGGTATGGCCTGGGAAAGCAGTGGAAGATGGTCCAAGGGCCTGCAGCCATCTGGGGAGTGAATCGGTGGATGGAATACCTCTCTCTCTCTTCCTGCCTCTACCTCTCTGTAACTGTGCCTTTCAAATAAATAAATAAATCTTTTAAAAGAAAAGAATGTCATAAGAATACAGCTAATTCTAATACTGAAAATGCCAAAATATATTTTTATGGCTTTAAAGACATTTAATTTCCTAAAGTGCATTTGTTATTACTGTTTCACATTTTATTAGTATTTATTTATTACATGCATAGAAACCAAGTAGACATGCTTCCAGATTTACTTAGATCTCTTTGTTAAGCACAGAGTGTATAAAGGAAAGAGTCAGAGAGGGTGAGACTATAGTAATCCTCTCAGTGGAAAAGATACTGGTGACTAAATCATGGTTCTTCTACCAGGGATGGGGATTATCTGTCCTGCTAGCTATGTAAGGTCCATGACATTTTTTGGTCTAGCCCTGCCAAGGCAACCACAGGTAGGACTCAAAATTCAATAAATGTATAGCAGGTTAATTTTTTTTTTTTTTATTTTTTTTTTTTTTTATTTTTTTGACAGGCAGAGTGGACAGTGAGAGAGAGAGACAGAGAGAAAGGTCTTCCTTTGCCGTTGGTTCACCCTCCAATGGCCGCCGCGGCCGGCGCGCTGCGGCCGGCGCACCGCGCTGATCCGATGGCAGGAGCCAGGAGCCAGGTGCTTTTCCTGGTCTCCCATGGGGTGCAGGGCCCAAGCACCTGGGCCATCCTCCACTGCACTCCCTGGCCACAGCAGAGGGCTGGCCTGGAAGAGGGGCAACCGGGACAGAATCCGGCGCCCCGACCGGGACTAGAACCCGGTGTGCCGGCGCCGCTAGGCGGAGGATTAGCCTAGTGAGCCGCGGCGCCGGCCTAGCAGGTTAATTTTTAAGTTGATAATTTTATATGGACCATGAATGATGTTATAAACTTTCAAATGGTGGCCGGCACCGCGGCTCAACAGGCTAATCCTCCACCTAGCGGCACCGGCACACCGGGTTCTAGTCCCGGTCGGGGCGCCAGATTCTGTCCCGGTTGCCCCTCTTCCAGGCCAGCTCTCTGCTATGGCCTGGGAGTGCAGTGGAGGATGGCCCAAGTGCTTGGGCCCTGCACCCCATGGGAGACCAGGATAAGTTCCTGGCTCCTGCCTTCGGATCGGCACGGTGCACCGGCTGCAGCGCGCCGGCCCGCAGCGGCCATTGGAAGGTGAACCAACAGCAAAGGAAGACCTTTCTCTCTGTCTCTCTCTCTCACTGTCCACTCTGCCTGTTAAACAAAACAAAACAAAACAAAACAAAACAAAACAAAACAAAACAAAACAAAACTTTCAAATGGCCCTCATCAGAAAAGACTCCCCATCCTGAACCTAATAGACTATTCTGAAAAAGAGCTCACTGTAATGAAAATGACATTTTCTCTTTTGAAACATTAAATAGTTATTAAGTATTCACTATGCTTTTTAAAGTTTTATTTATTTATTTGAGAGGTGGAGAGAGGGAGAAAACAAACAAACAAACAAAGAGTTGGAAAGCACAAACTCCAATCTACCAATTAATTCCTGCAGCACCAGGATGAAGCAAGGTACTAGGAAATCAATCTGGGTTGTTGGTAGGAACCCAACCACCTGAACTATCACCACTACCTTTCATAGTCTGCACTGGCAGGAAGCTGGAGTCAAGAGCCTGAGGTGCAGCTGGGTACTGAACTCAGGCACTCTGAAGTGGGATACATGCACCTTAACTGCTAGGCCAAATACATGCTCCCAGTATTTACTTCTAATACCAGCACAATTCACATCCTCTTATTTCATCAGAACTTTACCACCAACAAATAACTTGGTATCAGTATTAGACAGCAATTTCCCAAAACTGCCTTGAATAAACTTCTAATGAAATGCTTCTGATGCATTTAGTTACTTCCTTTATAAACTGAATTCTCTCTAACTGCAAATAAAAAAAAAGTTTCTGTATAATTTTCTTTCCCTAACTATTAGAAACAACAGCTCCAAAGGCTGTTTTAAAATATAAATATTTCATCCTCATTCTCTAAGAGCTGAGAGATGAATGATGATAATGGCAGAATATTCTTGATGGTTTTTATTTCAACATTACGGACCACTGTCTAGAAAAAAAAAATCAGTTTATTCTAGATTAAGTATTCAAATGTGACTTAACTGTATGATTTTAATTAACAGGTTGCATAAAGATTTCAGGCTCCTACATAATGGAATCTGAAAAATCTGCATTTAGACTACATTGGAAGAGGCATTTTGTGAAAATGCTACTTGGGATGTCCATGTCCTATATCAACAGAGCCTGGGTTCGAGCTCTGGTTCTGCTCCCAATTCCAGTTTCCTACTAATGCACACCCTGAAAGGCACCAGATGATAGCTGAGGTGCTTGGGTCTTTGTCACCTGCACGGGACATCTGGACTGGGTTCCTTGCTCTCTGCTTCAGTCTGACTCAGCTCCACCTGTTGTGGGCATTTGGGGAGTGAGCCAGAGTAGGGGAAGTCTTTGTCGTTTTGTCTTTCAAATAAATAAATGAGTAAAAATTTAAGTTCGGACTACACTCAGAACCTATCTGCCTAAATGGGAGGATATATACAATCATAAGATTAAAAGATACAGATGCAGTTCAGTCTCAGAAAATCTAGCCACTAAATAAACTGTGATTATTCTTCCTCTTAAAGACAAATTTCAGGGAAGGACATCTGGTGAAATGGGTAAGCCGTGGCTTGGGACACCTGCACGGCATAAGAGTTGCCCAGTTTGAGACCCAGCTCCTCTGCTTCCAATTTAGCTTCCTGCTATCTGCATCCTGAGACAGCAGATAATGGCTCAATTATTTGAGTACCTGCCACCTATGTGGGAGAACTGGAATGAGTTGTAGGCTCCTTGGTCTATCCCTGACTGTTGTATGTGGGGAGCCAACCAGTGAATGAAAAATCTGTTTCTATGCCTTTCAAATAAAATAAAAAAAAAATCATAAAATTTCCTGAGTGTAATATATTCACAAATAAAGAAGATAGAGGGGCTAGCATTGAGACACAGTAGGCTAAGCTGCCACATGCAATGCCAGCACCCCAGAGCACAGGGTTTGAGTTCTAGCTGCTCTTCTTCCAATTCAGCTCCCTGCTAGTATGCCTGGGAAACATAGTGGAAGATGGCCCAAGTACTTGGGCCTCTGTCACCCATGTGGGAGACCCAGAGGGAGCTTTGCCCAGGTCCAGTCCCAGCTACTACAGCCATTAGGGAAGTGAAACAGCAGATCCAAGATCTCTCACCCTGTTTGTCTCTTTCTAACTCTTTCAAATGAATACATAAATATTAAGAAAAAAACTCCACCAAATCCAGATAAATGATCCTAAAGAAACAATATAGAAAACTTCAACTTATATTGTTATAAACAAACCTCTAGAGCTCTTCCTCTCCTTTGCCTTGTAACAATCTAAGCAGACCACAAATCCGCATTTTTGGCAGACCCAGTGAATGTTAAACAATGTTGCTTCACATGCATCACACATCTCCCGGACTCCTCTCACTGCTCTTTTCCAGGCAATTTTGGCTGAAATACAAAGAAAGCAAAAAGTGGTAAGGGAAACATACTTTCATGCAATTAAAATAAAAAAGTAAAGGCAAACCAAGAACTTCTAAGGTTATATTAACTAAAGACCAATAGCAGATACCATGTAATTAATAATTGTCTTCATAAGACTCAGAGATAAGTGTTCCTAAGAGAAAAACTAAAATGGCTTACATCTACAGCAGGATTTCTCAAGTTTGCTACTTTCAAGATTTTGGGCTGAAAAGTACTTTTGCAGGGGGTTTTCCTTGTGCATTGTAGTATGTTTAATATCTATGGCCTCTACCCACAATATACTAGCAGTATACTACTATGAAAAATATCTACAGTAATTGCCAAATGTCCCAAGATTAAAAATCACTGATTTTTAGGGAAGAGACGGAAAAGATAATATTTAGAGCATCTGCTATGTTAGGTAGTGTTAACTACTTTACATAAAGCAGATAAAATTAACTACTTTCTAAACAAATCTATGAGGTTGTTATCTTTTCCATTTCACAGACCTAATATTCAGAGAGGTTATTTATCACAGATCTTACAGTTAAAATAAGGAGTAAAGTTGAGATTCAAATATAAGTACAAAGACTGGATTATGTCCTTTCACGGTTAATGATAAGATTTCACAATGTTGCACCCAAAAATAATCTCATTACACTGGTTGATTTCATAATGGCAAATGGTACTATGATTTTATAAATGGGCAAGCCATTAAATTCAACTTCAACAGAAGAAATATTTGTAAACTTAAGCACAAACAGGTGCTTTTGTGCACAAAAAGGTATCATTATCAAAATTAAAAATCACCAAGACTATGAAAGATTAGTGATTTCTTCCAGCGATTAAATATACTTTGAAGAAAAATTCTTAAAATGAAATTGCATGTTTTATTTCCTTACCATCCTTTTTCACCCAAGACAAAGCTGTTTTTTCAGATGTTACTAATTGACAGAACTTATCACCTATTATATCCAAGATATATTTAGAGGTTTCTATGTCTACTTCATCATCTTCATAATTTTCATGTGTCCATAAACTCATAGCTTCATCATCATATTGGTCAGGAGAAGAGAAACCATCTATTCTAACCACTCCATTTTTACTAAATGACAATCTGAAACATTAAAACACAAAAGCATTAGATATAAGTGATTAAAATATCAATTATCAGGAAAGCATAAATCCATTTTTAAAGTTGTGCATTTATAATTTGTTTAAATGATTTTATAATTTAAAAATAGGAAAACAGGGTGGTCTCCATTACACTTAATCATTTTAAATAAGTCTCATAGATACTACATAAACAGAAGCAGCACTGATTTTGTGTTATTTCAAGAAGATGTTCCCCTTCACTTAACTACTCAGTTTCAAGTCAATGAAAACAATGTCCATGTATCTGACAGGAAAATAGTAAAACTATTAAACTATAAAATAGTAAAAACCAGTGTAACCCAGAGAAGCAATGTTTTTATTTTTTATATAACCTAAATCACGAATTTACATTGGGAGGATAAAAATAAGACCAGATACAGTTTCATTAATTAAAATGACACTTCATTAAAGTGATACAGAAAAACAAGGATGAAACTCTTAGTAGTTTATAGTGAATCCAATTAACGTGCTTACTCTTAGCTTCTGATTTCAAATAATTTATCTCAGAGAAGTTTGGGATAAATGGAAGACAAAACTGCCATTCTTTACTAGCTGATAGTTACTCCTCAATGATCTCAGATTTACTCTCAAATGAGATGTTTGAAATTCACTATAAATAATTATGTACTTTTCTCAATAACAAGATTTCTTTTACCACATATCTTTATTGTATCCCTTTTATTTTTGAACTGTATTTTCCTTTTGTTTAGAACCTTTCATCATTTTTCAGCTTTGTTATTATCTTTACCTGAACTTTTCTTTCCTTCAAACTTTTTCTATATTTCCCCATCCCTTCAAACTTATTTTGCCTTTTGATTCCTTATTTCTTTTGCACTTCAAAGTGAAGAAATAAGAGACTTGGTATGTTTTACCAACACTTATTTTTTTGGTCTCTATGAGCCACCAGCACAGTATATTTACCAAAGTGTCTCTTAATTTATTTGAAAGATGAAATTAAGAAAATTATAGCTAACAGAGTATTTAATATGCATAGTACCATTATAAGGACTTTGCATACTACTTTATTTTCTTTAGGTATCTTTTTTTCTTTTTTAAAGATTTTATTTATTTATTTGAGAGGCGGAGTTACAGAGAGAGAGGCAGAAACACAAGGAAAAGTCTTCCATTTGCTGGTTCACTCCCCAAATGTCTGCAACAGCTGCAGCTGGGCTGATCCAAAGCCAGCAGCTTCCTCTGGGTTTCCTAAGTGGGTGTAGGGGCCCAAGTATTTGGGCCATCTTTCACTGCTTTCCTAGGCCATAAGCAGATAGCTGGATCAGGAGAGGAGCAGCCAGGACATGAACCCAAATGGGATGCTGGTACCCAAAGCAAAGGCCAAGCCTTCTATGCCACAGCGCTGGTCCCATTCCTTTAGGTATCTTTATCACTCAGTTTGCAGATGATACAGGCTCAGTTGTAGTTCTATCACAGTTAAAGGCAAACTGGAATGAAGGGACAGAGATGGGTTTTAAAAGCAGAAGTGACTGGTTCCAGAATATGAGGCATAAATTAGGCTCTATTAACTGATTAATTTTATTTGAAAGGCGGGGAGGAGAGAGGGGAGAGGAAGACAGAGACTCCCCAAATGGCTGCAACAGCTAGAGCTGGGCCAGGTAGAAGCCAGGAACTCCATTTGGGTCACTCATGTAAGTGGTAGGAACTCAGCATCCCAGGCATGACGAGGGAACTAGATAGTAAGTGGAGAGGCCAGGACCTGAATGGTACTTCATAAGGTAAGTGGGTACCCCAAGCAACAGCTTAAACTATGTTTGCCATGCCATGAGCCCCTCAACTATTCTTTAGTTAAACTCTAGTTGAGTTTATAAAGTATTAAATGTATATGTAAAAATAGTATGTAGGTTAATAACTGTAAGTGGCGTTTATATTTTAACTATAAAACCTGTGAAAATGACACATGGTACTAAAAAATCCTCTTTGTCATTTCATAACTCAAAGTTTTATAGGTACAAATGTTTAATGTATGTTTACCCAAGTACAGGTATTCCAATGTAACATAATAACTGAAGTTTAACTGCCTAGATTGTTTACCTAGATTTATAAATTACTTGTGATTACTTAAAGTACATATGTAAATAATACATTATTTCAAAGTAAACAAATATTTTAAAAACCCTTAAGTCAAAAACTACTAGAGCTGGCATTGTGGTACAGGAGGTTAAGCCACTGGCTATGATGCCAGCATCTTACTGAGTGCCATTTCAAGTCCCAGCTACTTCACTTCATATCCAGCTCCCTGCTAACATACCTGGGAAAACAGTGGAAGATGGCCCAAGTACTTGGGCCCCTGTCACCCTTTTGGGAGACTCCAGACTCCATTTTGACCTAGCTCAGCTCTGGCCACTGAAGCCATTTGGGGAGTGAACCAGAAGACTGAAGATCTCTCTCTTTCTCTAACTCTGCCTTTCAAATACATTTTTTTTTAAAATACTGTTTTCCAATATTTTTGAGAAAAAAAGGTTAACATTTTCTCAGTAAGGAAGAAAAAGTTAAAAGAGGATGTCTTATAGAATATAATGTAGGTGTGTATTTAGTTTAATATCATTGTTAAAACAGCATAAAAATGTTTAATATTCTTTCATAATATAAAAACTCAAAAGACACATTTCTAAATATAAGGGACTCGGAATAGTATAATTTCTAAAAATAAATATATTTTCCCAATTTCACATTTTCACTTACCGTCTAAAGTAATAAAATCTACAAAATACTGGTGAGTGAGCTGCTTCTTCTCCTTTTTTACTACGTATAAGTCTACATTCTCGGCACTTTTGTAAATTAGGCCCTATCTCACAACAGGAGTCATCCTGTAAAAAGGATTCTCCAGTTTGCTTCAACTTCTTGACTTTTCGCCAGTCTTTTAAAACCGAACGAGGGATGCCAGCTGTAAAATGAGTAGCAAAGTATTAGAAAGATTATGTTTTAGAGAAAGATACACTCCTTGGGATGAAAATTCAGGTCAATTATACAAGTGTCATTAATATGGTAAGATTGAAGGAAAAAAAGCAAAAGCAGAGTTTACGCTTATTAACAAAGTTCACAGCACCATTTCTGTTTACTGACGAAGTATCTCTACTAGCCAAATGAACCAGACACTTGTCAGTGTACTAGAAATGTAGAAGAGTAAATTTTCCAACTGACTAAACTCTTAACATTAAATATAATATATATTATTAAATATAATATATATAAGCATGAGAATTATTGATACTGATGTAAATTTGTAAGTAAAAATACAGTCCATCCGTAAACTTGTTTTCTCCTTATTATAATGCTCCCACATTTGATACCAACATATTGATAAACAGTATTATACTAAAGAACCGACATTTCAAAGTAAACCTTAATAATGTGATACAAAGCAGGCACCAATAACTTTTGTAAATAAAAGGGCATTAAAAAAAGTTCAAGGAAAGAAACTAATAGTAACTCATTTGTTATCAAAGTGTAAAGAAAAAAACTCAAATGCACTACAATCTAGTATTTGCTGGAAAATAAATATTTATTTATTTACCACACTATACAACATTGCTCCATCACATTTATTAGCCTGACCTTAACCAAGTATAGGAACATTGGCTCAAGTCATCTAAAGAGCAGGAGGGATCTCTAGATCAAGAGGAACTTTAAAAAAATCATATATAAACTTTATTTACATTTGTTAAAGATCAAGCTACGCTGGGACTAACAAATGTTTTCTGACTCTAAAGTGGACTTTTTCTGCCCATATTAATCTATCTATCTATACATAAGATTTTATTATTTTTGTCATGCTGAAAGAATGATCAGTATCTCCTAACTTTATGTGTTTTCTAATCATACCCATTCTGTGAATCACACGTAGAACTATTATAAAACTTCTTGCAGAATCTTGTAAGCAGAATTCTTGTTCAGAGTTCTGTTACTTATGTATTGGTAATGTAATCAGTAAAATTACAGAAAGATCACCTATCTTAGCATAGGAAGTAGTGAGTTTAAACCACAAGGTGGTCCATTTAAAACTGGGTCCGGGGCCGGCGCTGTGGCTCAGTAGGTTAATCCCCAGCCTGCGGCACCGGCATCCCATTTGGGCACCTGTTTGAGTCCCGGCTGCTTCTCTTCCAATCCTGCTCTCTGCTATGGCCTGGGAAAGCAGTAGAAGATGGCCCAAGTGCTTGGGCCCCTGCACCCATGTGGGAGACCCAGAAGAAGCTCCTGGCTCCTGGTGCTGGATCAGTGCAGCTCCAGCCATTGCGGCCATCTGGGGAGTGAACCAGTGGATAGAAGACCTCTCTCTCTGTCTCTATCTCTCTCTGTAACTCTGTCTTTCAAATAAACAAAATATATCTTTAAAAAAAATAAAAATAAAAAAATACTGGGTCCAATCACTAAGCATTTCTAAGATTGCTTCCTGTTTTTTTTTTTGTTGTTGTTTTTGTTTTTTTTTTTTACAGTTACATGTTTCTCTTTCATCTCATAACTTATGGCAAGGAGCTATGGCTTACTTCACTAGAGAAACACATATGCATGTACACATACACCTCACTTATGGCACAAAAATGTTTCTAGCAGGCTTGAGTAAAAAGCTTGTTATTTTCCACTGTATATAAGATAGATTTTTCCTAGGAACTACATAAAGTACTCAGAGCTTTTAGAAGTCAGAATGAACAATGGAAGTCTTACACCGCTAAAAGATTTCTATTTGGCAAACTTTCTTCTAATCATTTACTTTTTATTACACTATGATAACCTAAACACAAACCACTTATATTTTGAATAGAAAATAACTCAATGTACTTTTAATTCAAGATAATGGAACAGTTTCAGAGCATGGTTCACCATATGTTATGAACAATTTAAACAGTATTATAGTAAAGAACCAGACATTTCAAAGTAAACCTTAATTATGTGACACAAAATAGGCACCTAGAACTTATTCATATAAAAACAAAAATTGAATGAATTACAAATGCATTTATATAGAGTTTTTGATAAATCAATAGATATTTTTGCTTCCTTTATATAAACTTTTCAACCTTAGTAGCAAATCCACAAATAGCTGCTCCTGCAACAGTAAACTGGAGAGAAAAGAATTAAGAAACAAAAACATGCCTCCTTTAAACTCTGTGCCATCTCCTTAAAAACATTTTTTAGATAAACAAAAATTAATTCTGATTATAATTTTATATATCATAGGGCTTGCTGATATATTTAAATTTGTTGAGTTATTTTAGGACATAAAATAAAATTATATAAAAATTAGTCACAGAAAAAGCAGCTAACTTTTTATTAGAAACAAAAAACAGCAGATATGAAGATATTCCAAAAGAGTAGATAAAATCTATTAAAACTGGCTTTAGAATACACAAAGAAACGTGTGTGTGTGTGTGTGTGTGTGTGTGAAGTACATTATTACTCATGTATAGCACTGTATAGAATCATTCATATCCACCAAGTACAGGCCTAACTCCCTCTTTTTGAATGAGAATCATGACAATTTCACTAAACATTTGAAGGAAAAAGGACATTCCTGACCCATGAAATAAATTATTCACGAAGACCTGGAAGCTTCTTGACTTATGAAAACTAACAAGTAACTTTTCTTGACAGCTCAGAACAAAGGAAGTTAACTCTGCTTACAATTAATAGATAGCATTTAATAGTCAGCTAATATTTCTTTGGACTTGGTCAACAAGTGGGACTTAAAATAGCCTTTCTTAAGTTAAATGTTATTTACCAAGCAAGGGGAAAGTTGACTAAGCATGACAATCTATAAGGAAAAAAGGCACTAATTCCAGCCTTTGTCTTAATAACTCTTACTTGGGACATACATTCAGTTTCAAGGTAAAAAGAGAATGTGTACAATTAGGAGTTAATTTTATCAATGAATTTTGCTTTACAAAAGTTTTCCAGGTATTAAAAGCTAGAAGGTTCCTATCTTACTTTTCTTAAAGTTATACCTGAGTATTTGAATACCCAACACCAAAAGAAATGTTATGTGAGTTAGGAGACAAACAATTTTTAACCACACTAAGCCTATTATAAATTCATTGGGGAAGTAAGAGAACCTAACAGAGAGAAAGCAACAATGTATATATAAAGCAATATTCAAATAAAAGGCAAGTACTGTTCGAGGTCAAACTCCCTGTCTTCTGACTATACTTGCATTTCAGTTTGTCAGTCTCTCTGTCTCTAGTTGAACTTGTCCTTCGTTCTTTCACTTTCTGACTGTACTTTTCTATGATTCCATCCTCCTGTTTTTCTCTCCTTCAATTTGCCTCTGGTTTCCACACAGGCACATGGGAAAACCTCATTCAGGGAAAAGGCACAAATAAAGAGACTTCAAGCATTCAAGTGCTTGTAAAGTACTTCTTGGGTGTCCACATTGTCACAGATATTTCACATATTGTATGTGGATGAGTACATGGATATTATTATTAAGAGCTTTCTGCATTGTGCAACATACCTAAAAAGAAATAAGCAAACTGAGAAAAACTACTTCTAAAGTAAAAATATATAAATACTTCATAGTTAATATTACTGGTTAAGTATCACTTATTTGTCCAGATGCAGCAATAAAGGAAATATAAATTTAATTTTTTTAAGTTTTGAAGTTTTTAATTCATTATGGACATTTTAACAAATTCTATCTTCTAGGACACGGAATTGAACATAAAAACTCCACTCCCTTTAACTTCTACCCATTGTTAAGGATTGACTGAGTAGCATTATTAAATGGTTGGTAATTACAATAGGCTTACAATTCTGTCATCTAAGAGTTGAGATACAGACCATATACATACTACCCTGAAGTCATTTTTTAGAAATGTGCCTTAAATAAGATGCTGAAAGTAAGATTTCTTTTCCAACTGAATCTCATTATAGAAAAGTAACCATCTTACGGCCTGGTGTTATAGCATAGCAAATTAAGCCTGTGACAGTGGCATCCCAAATGGGTGCTAGGTTCGAGACCCAGTTGCCCTACTTCTGATCCACTGCTCTGCTAATGTGCTTGGGAAAGCAGCAGAAGATGGCCCAAGTGCTTGGGCCCCTGTACCCACTTGCAAGACTCAGAAGCAGCTCTGGGCTCCTGGCTTCGGTCTGGTATATATTTGGGGAGTGAACCAGCTAATGGAAGGGCTCTGCCTCTTCCTCTCTATCTGTAACTTTGCCTTTCAAATAAAAATAAATCCTAAAAAAAAAAAATTAACTATCTTAGCAAATATTAGGAATCTACCTGTGATTGTCTTAACTGCATTTTCACAATTCTTAGAAATGGCCAAAATTATGAGTAACTCCTAAATTACTCACTGGGCTACACACATTACCTATAATGAGTGCTAAGTAAATAGAGATTTATTTCTACAAGTCTCTTAAATGGAGGGTAAACCTTCTCTCATTTCCTCCTATAGGGTACTTACTAAATATACAAAGGCGGTCAATTAATATATACCTAAGGCATTCAAATAAAGACAAAAGATACCTTTAAGTTCATTAATCTTTAGAGACCCGTATCATTCATGCTAGTAAATTCAGCCCATTTTACCTGAAATAAAACTAATTCACTGGCTGGTGCCGTGGTTCACTTGGCTAATCCTCCACCTGTAGCACCAGTGCCCCGGGTTCTAGTCCCAGCTGGGGCTCCGGATTCTGTCCCGGTTGCTCCTCTTCCAGTCCAGCTCTCTGCTGTGGCCCGGGAGGGCAGTGGAGGATGGCCCAAGTGCTTGGGCCCTGTACCCGCATGGGAGACCAGGAGGAAGCACCTGACTCCCTGGCTTCGGATTGGCGCAGTGTGCTGGCATGGCAGCCATTTGGGGGGTGAACCAACGGAAAAAAGACCTTTCTCTCTGTCTCTTTCTCACTAACTCTGCCTGTCAAAAAAAAAAAAAAAAATCACTTACCACTATTATTGTTGCTCTGTAACTTCAATTTACTTTTTTCTTTGGCACTCCTGCTGAGAACTCCATTGGGTTTCAAATCTTCCTCTATTTCACCCTTTCTCTTCTGTAAATCATTTTGCTTCTTTTTGTAAGTTGGCTTAGGTTGCCTTTTAGTCCTTTGCTCTGACTTGCTTTCACTTTCATCTGAGTCTCCACTCTCGGAGCCAGATTCATAAGTTCTTTTGGCTTTTCTCCTATTAACTTTATCATCTTTCACGTACTTATCAACTATGATTTTACTATCTATGCTATTTTGTATATCATTAGATGTAGAGGCTATTAAGTTGACAGAACATGGCTTAATAATTTCTGATACAGAATTCCCTGAACTTTCCATTTTATTCGTATTTTTATCTTCTTCTGAATGTCTTGTGAGCCAGGCCTTTTTCAGTTTAGTATGGTAGTTTGGCTGACTTGTCTGGGATGCTTGCCCATTTCCTGCGGAGTTTGCTTTGTTAATTGTATTACAGATTACAGTGCTATCCAAGGAAAGAGAGACTGAAGATGTCTGATTTTTCACAGCATTAGGTTCAGTCTCATTGACATTACTACTTTTAGATTGAGCTGCAGCCAGTGCTGCCTTGTGCTTTTTTAAATGGATAAAATCAGTTGTGCCTGAGAACCCAGAGCTGGACTGAACAGCACTTCCTGTCTTACTACTGGCTAGCGTAACAGGAGCTGTAGTGCTGACCTTGCATTCTTCTGTCTGAGCCACTGACTGACTAACACTTTTAGAAGAGGTACATTCTAAGGCTGTAGGGACCAAAGTGGTATTTGATAAAGAGTAAATGACTTCTGAACCAGCCCAGCTGGAAACACCGGTGGTAGTGGCTGCAGACGTGAACATATCCGTTTTGGTGTTACACAATGTATTTACAGCAGACATAACTGAACTGGTCATGCTGCTCTGGGAGACAGCCTGAAAGTTTTTTTCAGATTTTATTTGAGCATTGTCTGAATTCACATTTGGCAGAATGATTCTTCCAGTCTGTCCAGCTTCTGCTGGTTTGAGGCAATCTGTTTTATTTGCCCCGGTCGAAGATCTTTCACTAACTCGATCTTTGGAAGCAAACTGTGTTGCTGGCACGGTATCAATCTTTGTACTAGAAGGTGGACGCACAATGACAGATGCCATAGCAGCATGTGACTTTCCGCTTTTTTCCACATGCCATTCGGCTTTCTCTTTGTTTAGGTTATTAGATCTCCACATTTCTGTCAAACTCTGGTCAGAAGAATTCTTAAAACTGGCCTGAGAGTCTTTTGGCTCAGGAATTAGGGTTGGAGGTTTTTGTGATTCTTGAACTTTCCCACCAGCATTTACTGGCATTACTGGAGTTAAAGTTGGAGGGGAAAGGCTACTATAACTGGTTTCTTTTCTTTCCAAACTGTGATGGATTGGTGGGTGAAATACTGGTGCTCTATGTAAAGCAGGCATACTACGGAGTGTGTTTGTAGATGAAACTGTCAAATGGGTAGGACTCCTGCAATCATTTCTGAAGGTTGTTATTGAGTGAGATGCAACTTGATGGGGAAGATGTTCAGGCATCTTAGCTACTATATTTTCATTTTCTGGTTGGTGTTTAATCAAAGGTGGAGGCTTTGAAAGAGATGACATAAATGAAGTCAGAGTTTGAGGACTAGCTGCTACTGCATGGGTATGACTCTGTTTTTCAGCATAAATATTGGAAATCTCTTTGGATGGGTATGATCTTGGTGGTTCATTAACCACACTATTGGACAACGTAGTGAAATAATTACTTTGGGGCAAACTCTGAGGCACTGAGTGCTTCATTTTATAAAGATCTGATACTGAGCGTTCCATATCTTTATCTTGTTTGATGACATGGCTTTTAGGACTGGAAGATGACGATGCTATTCTGCAATAATTATCTCTGTCACCCTCAAGCCCCTTGATTTTAGTTGTAAAGGGAGCAACATCAATACTTTCTTGAAGAATTCGACGGTGTTCCTCCTTGTATTTGTTTAATCTCTCTCCAGTCTCCTGGGGTGGCCTCTGTAATTGATTTAATACTGGATCCATAAAATGCCTATGCAAATGACAATCTTTTCCAGTCTGTGACCTATTTAGATCCAGGTCATTTTTTGCTGAAGTGGATGCAACAGACCGCAATGGTTCCATAAAAGCTTTTCTCTCCAGTTCTCTGTAAAGAAAACACACAAAGATTTCTGAAATCCCTTTTTCTTATAAAATACAAAGATACTTTCTGTGTAGCATCATTCTATTATGAAAGTAAAACACATTTTTGCAAGTACATTATTAATGAAACAGAAGAGTTATGTACATTTATTATTATCAAATTAGATGATATATCAATATAGAAAGACAGTAGGTTTTTAAATCCTATTCTTTTTTCTTTTTTTTATTTAAAAGAGAGAAAAAGAGAAAAAGGGAGGAGGAGGTGAATGTACAGCTGTTGGTTTATTCTACAAAAGCTTGGGCTGGGCCAGGCTAAACCCAGGAGCCAGAAGTCATCCAACATCTGCTGCCTTCTAGGGTACACATTAGCAAAAAAGTTGGTCTGGAAGCGGGGGAGGAGCTGGGTTTCAGGCATGCTGATAAGGGATGTAGACATTCCAAGAAGCAGCTTAACCTGCTGTACAATGTCAGTCCCCAAGACTTAGTTTAAATACATTATAGATAGCTGTTAAAAAAGTCAATTATTTTAAGCACTGATAAACTTACTCTTTATGATGATCTACTAAAGTTTTTGTCAATGGTGGACTGGAATGTGCTGTAATTTTAAGAGGCCGATGAGGCTCTGCGCTGGAAGGTCTCACAGGAATGTGACTAAGTAATCCAATACCATCTGCTGAGGTCACAGGGGTGGGCTGATGTAACCAAGGACTGGGAGAATTCTTTAAAAAAAAAATCACTATATTTAGAAAAATATTAAAGGTTTCAGAAATATATCTCAAGAAATACTCAATATATCATCAACATATTTATATGGGATTTTCCAATTTTATATAGAAAATTCATCAGCACTAAAATAGTTATTTCCAGAAATTAATTATTTTACTAAAATCAGATCTTAAAATATGTTTAACTTAATGATCTACACAGAACCTAATATGATTTCTAATGATTCTAAAAGAATGCATGTTGCTAACAGCAAAGACACAATGTTATTCCTAAAAAATGTTTCACCAAAAATAAAAATTATAATCATGTTCACTCGCCATTTTTTGTCATCAATCAAAAATAATTAACTTTTTCAATGTAATGCAATTTACTTAAAAATTTTCAAAGCCCAAATATATTCCATTTCAGTACAAGTTATGATTGTTGTATCACTAAACCTGGACATATGGAGGTCTAACAAGTTACTTTTTAATATCAATATAATGCCTTCCTCATAATTGAATATGTAGTGACAGTGACCTGCATGTTAAGAAATATAACTATTGGCCAGTGCCGCAGCTCAATAGGCTAATCCTCCGCCTGCGGCGCCGGCACACCAGGTTCTAGTCCCGGTTGCTCCTCTTCCTGTCCAGCTCTCTGCTGTGGCCCAGGAGTGCAGTGGAGGATGGCCCAAGTCCTCAAGCCCTGCACCCCCATGGGAGACCAGGAGAAGCACCTAGCTCCTGGCTTCGGGTCAGCGTGGTGCGCCAACCGCAACGGCCATTGTGGGGTGAACAAACGGAAAAAGGAAGAGCTTTCTGTCTCTCTCTCTCTCTGTCCACTCTGCCTATCCAAAAATAAAATATTAATAATATATATATAAATAAATATTTAATTACAATCTGAAGAACAGTTTCTGTATAACTGACATTTTCCCAGAATACATTTTCTGAATTTATCAGCAGGAAGGTGGTTAAATACCACGGTAATATACATTCCTTTGATTTTAACAAAAAGGGAAAATTTTTAAATATCCAACTGATAATGCAAAGGCAATTGAATATCATGCCAAAGACACACTGCTGTAAAATCACTTAAATTAAAAAGATACACTATAGCCATAAACCTTGCATAAGGAGAAAAATACAATGATATTTCAGAAAGCTTGTGGAGAAATGGAATTATAAGACAATAGGTTTATTTTGGTATAAAAACCTGAAATCCATGCATAATATTTTTATATGTATTTCCCACAAACTTTTAAAAGACCCATTGTAGGCATGGATTTCACATTTTTTGAACAAAATAAATCTTTTAATTCCATTTTTCACAAACTTTTTGAGGCACAGTTTAAGACTCATACAAAGACTCATGACTACACTGTCATTACTGTACGCAAAATAAAATGGCTTCTCTGATAAACTTTTGGTATGATCAGCACCACTTTTGCTTCTATGAATGGCACTGTAAGCAGTATTATCCCTGAAGTAACTGAGGAAGTCACTGATATTGTCATTTCAGCTGCCATCCCAAGACATTCACTTTGGATCTAGTCCACCTTCAGAAAGCTACCCAAAAACGCTAAGAATCTGTTAAAAAAAAACACCCACACTTATTGATTATTCATAATAGACAAGAAGTGAAAGCAACCAAAGTTTTCATTAACAAATAGAAAAAGAAAGAAAATGTGGGGTACACACCACACACACACAATGAGATACTATGCAGCTTTAAACAAAAAAAGCCCTGTCACATGCAACATAAATGAGCGTCAAAGACACTATGCTAAGTGAAAATTAGTAACAGAAGGACAAATGTTTGATTGCATTCATATGAAGTTTCTAACATTGTCAAAAATCACAGTAATAGAAGTAAAAAGGTGATTGTCAAGGGTAGAGGAAGGGAAAATTAAAACGTTTAATGTGAAGGCACAGTTTCAATTCTATTAGGTAAGAAAGTTCTAGAGATCTGCTGCACAACAACGTGGACACAGTTAACACTATTGAATTATACATGTATTAATGGTTAAGGTGGAAAATTTAATGTTTTTTTTTTAAACCACAGAGATTTTGGGGGATGCATAAAGAACATTCTGGGCTCTCAGAGTTTAACATCTATTCCTGTATTTTTTATAATGGGATTACTGATGAAACATTTCATAAAAACAAATTTGCTAAAGAAATCACATGGCCTAGGAACAAATATAAGTCCTATACTACCACCTTCAGTAATACTGTGTCAGAGAATTTCAGCTCCAACTTTCTCAAATATTGGGACTCTCCAACCTTTAGGAAACAGAGACTTAAAGATTCATATCTTGTAATGTACCTTTAATTCAAGGTATTAAGGTGAAGAATATAAAAATTTTAGGAAGAATTTGATAGTACATATCAAAATTTACATAAATTTTAGTCCAGAAATATTACTTCTAGGAATTTCTCTGAGCAAAATATTTATGATTAGATACCATAATCTAAATCTATAATAAATACACACTACAATTTAAATTTAAAGAAGTTTTACTTCTTTAAAGCTCTTTTTTTTGTAAATAAATAGGCTTTTCTGAAATTTCCATTTGTGTTCTGTGGCTATTAAGCATACTGGAAAAATAACTGCTTAGAAAATGCTAACATTTTTATAATAGGAAATGACCTTAAAAAATAAGATACCGAATAGTGCTTGGTACTGTATAACTTACCCTCCTTAAGGAAGCTTCAGCATTAACAGCATTTTCTGGGTGAACCCATTTTGAAGAAGGCAAACCAAGTCCTGAGTATGCATGTGTGCCATTTGGATACTGCCAAATAATTGGATAAAGTCCAAGCTGATTATATGAAGCAGAAGGATGGGCTTGTCCAAGAAGATGAGGTGACTGGTGCTGTAACAACTGTTGTTGTTGCTGGTGTGCTAGTGCTAAGTGGCTTAAGCTGCTGGCATGAGCACTCTCTAGTCGCGGGGGGCCACCAAGTAAGGAGGCAGCAGGCACTCCAGGTAACATAGTAGGAAGTAAATGAGGGTGATGAACAGAATGGTGTGGACCACTAGTCAAAGGATGATTGTTAATGGTAGGCAATGGAGTTTGACTGGATGATCCAGCTAGTAGGTGGGGTGCAGGAGTTAAGGCAGGGTGATGGGTACCTGGATTTAAACAGGTTCTATGTGATGAGGAATGAAGAGGAAAAGGATGTTGGCTTAAGAAAGGTGAAATGTGATTAGCTCCTGTTTCTGGCCCAATAAGAGCAGGATCTCTGTAAACTGTGAAATGTTCATTTTTATCAATGATCAGAGGGCTCTTTGTGTTTTCCAATGCACTGCCTCGAGTAGGAACTGGGTGAAAACTGCATCTTGATAATTCATGTTCTATCTTATTTGCCAGTCTTCTTTCACCAGTGGCCTGGCTATTCACATGAGTACCCTTAGACTTTAAAGAATCAGGAGAATGAGTAATTTTGGGTTTAACTTCAGGTGAAGGATTGGATTTTGCCTTGTGAGCATCTACTGAAACATTAAGCTTAGATTTTATTGTCTCAGGGGGTGGACTTCGCTTATGTAGCTTATCTTCTGTGACAGAAACTGCACTTTGAGAAGACATGTAAGAAACAAACTGATTTTTCTCTTTTTCTATATTTAGATGATCATTTCCTGAAGAAGCATTTATAACATTTGCCTGGGTTAAATCCACTTTAACTACATCACTGACCCAGCTCTGGTCAGAATCTTGTTTTGCTGTTTCCAAGTATTTTGTATTTGCAATTGAATGTTTTGAATCACTAACATTAGGATCTAGTTTTTGAAGGCCAAACGTATTTGAGTTTTCCTGAGCCATCTTTTCTGAGTTAGTGTCATTTGTAATATCAATAACACATTTTGGTGTTGGTGGTCTGGACACAAACTTTTCCTTTGGTAATAATTCCACTGTATGTGTATTTTCCCCTTTAGATTCTTGAAGAAGTACATCATTAGAATTATGATCAGAAAGTGTAGCCTGTTCGGATGAATGGATAATCATTTTTTCTTGTAGCTGTGTGTCAACACATTTCCGCTTTTCTGCTTCTTGAGGTTTTTTATCATCCTGTAGTTGATCCCAGGTAGGCTGGATATCTGTCAATGTTTCTTCTCCTGCCTTCTCATTATTCTGGGATTTCCCTTCTTCTCCATTTACCTTTGAAGCACTTTTATTTTTTAATTCATCCTCTGGCTTTTGCTCTGAGGAATTATCTGTAACTCTCTTATTTGAATTTTCTGAATCACTGCTCTCAGAAAAGTCTGAAGCATTGTCAGTTCTAAGTCGTTTCATACTTAGTTTCTTTTCATCCTCCTCAGGTTTCCTCCTTTTATTCACCAAGTGTTTGTTTTTACCTTTAGGATTTTCTGTAAGATTAAAAAAAAGAAGTTATGTTTTCATAATTCATACTAAACAAATATTTTTAAAATGTCTTTTTGTTTTTTCATTTCCTTAAAAAAAAAGTGGGTCCTACCTCCTCGTGATACGTAATCGTATTTTTCCTCCTTCACTTTCTCTTCATCTGGTATACTGCTATCTGAGCCTTTCCTCTTACTTGGACGGATATTCCTGTGTTGTTGTTGCTGGTGTATATTCTGTTTTGGTACAGCAGCTTGGGAGCTCATTGCTGGTCTGGGACTATTTGCTTGGGCACGCGTATAATGACCCTAAAAATAACCATTAACAATGATTGTTTACTATGTGAACCTAAGTAGCCTCAAGGAAAGTATTTAACAAAATCTGCTGATTAATAATATACATACGTGAACAGTGTTGATATTTTGATTGGCACGAGATCTACGTCGTGATGTAATGCCAATATTTTCACCTTTTAACAAAGAGTGAACAACATCATCTAGAAAGGTCATTTGAACCATAGAAGGATCGACATTCTGTGGTTCTAGTACCTAATCCATGACAAAAAAACAAAAATAAAAATTAAATCCAATTAGCTAACCAACGTGATATTTAGTTTGATTTTTTTTTGTTCAGTATAAATGATTAGATTTGGGATCCCTAATTTATAAGATAGTATCATATTTACAATAATTAATTTTAACCAATAAAGATAAATCTCCTTTTAAAAAAACATTTATCTATTTATTTGAGAGGCAGAAAGAGAGCTCCCATCTACTGGTTCACTTCCCAAATGCCCACAATGGCCAGGATCACAGCCAGCATCTGGGAACTCAATCCAGGACTCCTTTATGTGTGGCAGGAAACCAATTATTGCTGCCTCTCAGGGTTCCAGCTGGTGGAAAGCTGGAGTCAGGGAGTAAGACCTAGGAATCAAACCCAGGTACTTACTGCAGGGCACAGGGGCATCTTAAACATACTACCAAACATTTGCTCCCAAAGTTACCCTTTTAACCACATGAAAGTCACTAACTACTGATGAAGAATTTAAAAGCAAATGTATCTATTGGAAGTACACTTTGAAAAATAAGAATTAACCAAGAGCATACCTCTAACTCTTATAATAACAAACAAAAAGGGTACAGATATCAAAAAACAGAAAGTAGGGACAAATATTGAGCCTAGTGGTTAAGATACCTACATCCTACATTACATTAGAGCATGTAGGTTCTATTCCTTGTTCTGGCTCCTAAATTCAGACCCTGAGAGGCAGGGTGGATAGACCAAGTAGTTGTGGCCCTGTCATTCATGTTAGAGACCTCGGATTGAGTTCCTGGTTCCTAGCTTCAGCTTTGGTCACTGTGGGCAAATGGGAAGTAAACCAGAGAATGAGAGCTCCAGTTTCTCTCAAATAAATGAAGTAATTAAAAAAGTTGGAAAATAAACAAAACAAAGACACTGGGAAGGAGAAAAAGATTTTACAATGTGCAAATAGGTAATTTAAATAACAAAGTTAACTATTTTAGAAGCCAGGGCTGTGGCATAGCTGGTGAAGCCGCTGTCTGCAGTGCTGGCATCCCATGTGGGCGTCAGTTGGAATCCCGGCTGCCCCACTTCCATCTCTCTGCTATGGCCTGGGAAAGCAGTAGAGGATGGTCCAAGTCCTTGGGCTCCTGCACCCGCGTGAGAGACCTGGAAGAAGCTCATGGCTTCTGGCTTCTGACCTGTACAGCTCCAGCCCGCTGTGGCCATCTGGGGAGTGAACCAGTGGATGTTGCCTCTCTGTAACTCTTTCAAGTAAACAAATAAAATCTTTATATATTAAAAAAACTATTTTAAAAAACTGAAAGCAATTTGGTGCTTCATAAGAGTCAGTCTGCCACCTTTATAGGAAAAAAAATTATGTAATTACATAGTACATTTAGCATTTTGACTAAATTCTAACCAAAGTTATTTGAATTGTTTATAAAGGAGTTGTGTTAGATAAATATTCTACAATCTACTCAGGTTGGAAGATATAAATACTAATTTCCTAGGTAAAGAAATAACAGCTTTAGAAGAAAACTTTTTTTGTCAGCTCTCCCAAAACACTGACTTGAAATCTCAGGACTTTTAGATTGTTATTTAAAACTGCAAAACTTGTAACACCATAAAACTCAAGTGAGCATACCAAGCTGCAATTTGATCTAAGAACTACAGTGTATGTTAAAAGTTTCAATTAGTGCAATCATTTGGAAATTTTCTTTTCCTGAAAGAGAGAAAAACAGATTTCAAGAAAAAAATTAGGTACCCTGATTATTAAAAGGAAGATTAATCAATGAAAAGGGTTTGATGCCTATTTCAGGGACTGATTTTATCCGTGCTAAAATAAAATTGGTGTATCTCCCTTGGATCTGAAGTGACTTAGAGCTATATAACAGATACATCTACATTTATTAGTATCATTGTAACAACTCTAAAGATGAAAATTATTTATTGTCAAACTGTTGGCAAAGACTATCTCTTTTCAAAAATATTAGTTTAATAATTTACCTGATCATTCATAACGATCATGGTGCGGGTGAAGAGATCATGATGAGTAATTATACCAGTAAACCACTGGGTGGCAGAGTCTTGTCTATATACTCTCACTCTATATCCATTTAAAGAATAAGGACCTTTAAAAAAAAGCACATACATAGAGGTATCTTAAATGAAGATATTTCCATTTTGGAATTACCTGTTAGGAGAAACATGAATTATATGATGGATGAGTAATATCATAACCAAGGATTAGCTTTGAAAAAAATAAACCTAGAAGACAAATTCATTTAGAACAGATAATTCTAAAATTATCATGATACACACGATAGTAGACACACTGTTTCCTTATTCAACGGAAATAAAATAAGTAGAAAAAACAGTTTCTGAGATCATGAAATAAGTGGAGTATAAAACAAAGATACAGTGTTCTATAATTTATTAAGATTACAATGCTTGCTTAACAAATTTGGGGTGGATGATTATATAGCTGAAATAGAAACATAATTTGGACTTTGATGTCCCAGTCTCCCAGCTGCAAAAACTTTTGTCATAGGCGCCTACAAATTTTGATTCCCTAGGAATAGCTAGAAAGTTATTGTAAGTCTTAAAAAATGAAGAGATTGCAAGGTGGATTATATTATAAATCCGGCACTTAATGTTTTCTTAAGAAATATAGTGCACTTTTGAGCTAAACTAATTTTTTCAAATAAAAGGGAGGATTAAATATTAAAGGATATATGTATATGTTCAAATATGCCCATCAAAACAAGTCACTTCACAGATGGGACATCAGAGATGAAAATTTTTTTCAATTCACAAGCACCAAAAAATGATATCAAGTACTTTAAACTTACTGTGAGGGAAAAACTACCACACGTGAAGAACAGCATCATACACAATTTACAGTGTTTTCAAAACTCTTGTTTATTTACTCCTTTCTAATTCTTAGATATTAATATCCCTTTTATAAAAATCCAAGAAAGTGAGGTCAAGAAATTAAGAAAATATTTAAGTAAAACACTTAAGACTAATTTTATTTTTCTGATTCGTAGGTTGATGCTTTCTTCTATGGTTACAACAAACTCAACATGCCAATTACTGGTTTAATAATTATTTGCCAGTTTTAAAAGTTTATAACAACATCAGATTAAAAACATAAATTAACACATTTGTAATTAACATATTTGCAGAAATATTCCAAAAGACCTATGAATACATTCATCTAGAGAAAAATGAAGATGTTGATCCTCTGTAATTTAAAGGAGATAATGGGAAAACAGTATTTATAAGCCATAATCCATTACACAAAGTTGTCTTTTCTATGAGACCCCATATTTAAAAAAATACATAGAAAATGCTTAATAATATAGCATAACTTCAAATATGATGAGTTTTCAACTCCCATTAACAAACTATCTACACTGGTTTGTTCCCACTTAACACAATTTCGAGTCTACCTCACACAATTCTGCCTATAAGGATATCAATATTAATGCTTTAACTTTTCTTTCCTAAGGATACAAAAAAGAAGTTATTTCAAAGAAATTAGCCTGGTTACTCCAAAAAATAAATTGCAAGGAAAGGGAGGGAAAAAACAATGGAGGGGACATATCAATCAATCATAATGTATGGGCTTTTTCTGGTTCTCCTGATTTTTAAAAACGTAAATAAAACCTGTTAAAATCAAATATAACTTTCATGAGACAAATCAAACTATGAACCTGACTACGCATACCATTTGATAATAAGGCACAGTTATGTTTTTCAGCATAAGGGACTGGCAGCTCTGTTTAAAAAAATGGATAGGGGCGGCCGGCGCCGCGGCTCACTAGGCTAATCCTCCGCCTAGCGGCGCCGGCACACCGGGTTCTAGTCCCGGTCGGGGCGCCGGATTCTGTCCCGGTTGCCCCTCTTCCAGGCCAGCTCTCTGCTGTGGCCAGGAGTGCAGTGGAGGATGGCCCAAGTGCTTGGGCCCTGCACCCCATGGGAGACCAGGATAAGTACCTGGCTCCTGCCATCGGATCAGCGCGGTGCACCGGCCACAGTGCGCCGGCCACGGCAGCTATTGGAAGGTGAACCAACGACAAAGGAAGACCTTTCTCTGTGTCTCTCTCTCTCTCATTGTCCACTCTGCCTGTCAAAAAAAAAAAAAAAGGGGGGGGGGGGCAAGCATTTGACCTAGCAGTTGATATGCATGCAGGTTAGGCTCCCCATTTCCTTGGGTCCAGCTCTACTCTAGATTCCAGCTTCCTGTTAATGTACACCCTGGGAGGCAGCAGGTGATGTACCTGAAAGAGGTTCAGGCTCCAGGGCCTAGTTATTGCAAGCATTTGGGGAGTCAAGCAGGGAATAGGGCACTCTGTCTCTCTTGAATGAATGAATAAATACAAATTTCTAAAAAAATGGCTAGAATAATATGATGTCTGAAATTTCATGGAAGTAAAGACAATGTGGATGGGAGCAGGATCATCTGAGGCTTGATAGCTGTTGGGGCTAGGAAACAGCTATATGGAAATTGATGGAAATAAATCTATTTTTGTGTATGCTTTCAATTCTCTATAGTAAAATTTAAATAATTAGCATAAGAAGAATTTACTATGTAGATGATCCATTGCTATAAGGCAAAACAACAACAAGTTTGAGATTATCTCTATTAATGTTTAATGGTATAGAAGTTCAGGGTTGAGGTAAATATGGAAATTTAAGAACAAAATTCCATTCTAACAGTCAACATAACAAAAGTTCATAGCATATTATCTCAATTTCAGTTAAGTTTTCAAAAAGCTTTTATCTACCATATATGATTTCACTGATATAAAAAGGAATCACTAATCATGAAACCTCACTGGTCTGAAGGTCACATTTTGTAAACAAACTGTAACTTATTAAACAAAGGAAATAACTAAGACTAGTATTGTAGTAATTGCTGAGGAACCTGCATTGAAACAGGCACTTTTATCAGATACCTACAGCACTCTTCAAAGGAAATCAGTTGTGGCTTTGGGCAACCCTTTAGTGCAAACAATGCTTCCTTCTCCAGGAAGGACACACCTAGTAGTATTCAGCCTTATGGAAATTTTTCCTATCAACAAAACACCTGTGTGGCTAAAATTGCATCCCAGGCCTTTACCTCAAATTAGTTAATAAACTGGTGAACTTCTCAATTTTTTATAGAAATAATTGTGATTCTGGTAGTACTTTCCCTGGACTGTACATAACTCAAAATATTAGACTGGGCCTTCTACTTACATTACATAAAATTGAACAATCAAAGACAAAGGGGATACGTTGGCTAGTTAAAAAAAAAAATCAATGCATAACTTCAAAATAGTTACCTTGCATAAAAATCTCCTGAACCTTTTGTTCCTTTACCCAGACTTTCACTTCCTCGTGAAGCTGCGGGTTGTCCCTGAGAACTGGGTTTAGGCTGTCTATGTCGTCCTAGAATTACAGATTAAAAGAAAAGGACCATGTTACGCTCTCCTAACATTAATGTTACCAACTTTCCCTCCTATATGTTCTAAGGACTGAAGAAAATTCCTTCATCTAAATGTATGCAAAAATACAAATTCATAACTTATAGTTCATTAGCAACTACATGACAATAGAGTCTGAGGTAAGATCTGAAACTACTATCACATTGTCTAATCTTTTAAGTATGGCTTTATTCTAGCCAGCTTTTCAAGGGTTCGTTATTAGAAGGAATACAAAACAAAGCATTAAGTCATCTGAAGCTGGTGTCAAAGAGATATATATGTAGATGAGTTACTGCCCCATAATGCCCAAAATAATTAGTTTTTTTTTTTAATGTAATGTTATGGGTGTGTGTGTGTGTGTGTGTGTGTGTGTGTGAGAGAGAGAGAGAGAGAGAGAGAGAGAGAGAGAGAGAGATAGTTAGTTAGTTAGTTAGTTAGTTAGTTTTTCCATCTGCTGGTTCACTCCCCAGATGGTTTCAATAGTGAGGGCTAAGCCAGGCTTAAGTGAGGAGCTTCATCTGGGTCTCCCACAAGGATATACGTCCCAAACACTTGAGCCATCTTCCTTTGCTTTTCCCAGGCCATTAGCATGAAGCTGGATAGGAAGTGGAGCAGCCTGGACTTGAACCAGTGCTACGCCACAATGCCAGTCGCCTCAAAACAATAGATTCTGAAACTAGTAGCCTTTATTCACTGTCTGATTTAAATGTTATTGAATTCAGTTCTACTCAAATTCGTGTAACCAGTAATTTCATGCTGTAATTTTTGTTTTTCAAGCCACCATCAAAGCATTCAGCAATTAAAATTACATTACTGACAATATTATCTTCTTAACAGGGTCAGTCTAAACACAGAAACAAACAGCTCTGTTTCCTTCAAGTTCTGAATCACTCAGTCACATCGTTTCCCACTATCTACTGGTCCCTGCTGGACTCTGACACTATATTCTCTTTACCTAAAACAGCTCTGATTGCTCCTACGTTTGAGATCAGCTGCAGGAGCCCTAGAGCAGTTGGGAGGAACAAAGCAGCACTGTCCACTGGCAGTTACTTTTCTTAAAAAAAAAAAAAAGAAAAAAGAAAAAAAAAAAGGACAGGCAGATTTTAGAAACCAGTGAATATAAAGAAGCTAAATCAAGAAAACTATATATGGTGTATAAAAATAAAAAGTGGTAATTTGGAAGAGCCAAGAGGTGGCTACAGGACACAAAGAATAATTCCCGCTTCAAAAACTATCCAAAAAAAGATTTTCCTTCACGTTTTATCACTGCTATAAGGTACTACTCTTTATTTTTGGAATAATATTATGATAAATATTCTATCTGACATGACTCATGCTTAGTGAAAGCCAACAAGCAGAAGGGCCATTAAGATTATTATTTCTATTCCTCAGAAAATATAAACCCAAACCCACTTGATGTATACTAGACAACAGTCCAGAGTATGACACACAAACTTCAGAGAAGTATGTTCCAAGGAAAACAATCACAACTTTCAGATAGCTCTGACAGCTGTAGTACTTTAAAAATCTTTCTCATTTTAATTCCATACATATCCACCCATATACCCATCACAAATACAGGGGGTTATTTCTTTTAAAGTAGCATTGCCAGGGCTGGCATTGTTGCATAGCAGGTTAAGCTGCCACCTGCAGTGCCCGCATTCCATATTGGTGCTGGTTCGCCCCATTTTTGCAAAGAAGCAGAAACTTATTTGACAGAAAAGTGCCTGGTTCGAGAGGAGGTCAGGTGGAGTGCCAGAATAGGACACTGGTTTCCAGGAAGTGTCCAGGACTTTTAAGGCATTCCATGGGCGGTGCCCATTGGATGGGGTGTGGGGTTTCACATACTATATGTTGATTGGCTTGGGGCTAATGGAGATAGCAGGGGGGCTAATGGAGATAGCAGGGTATCTCCTGGAGACGGTCTACCTCTTTTGGGACTCAGCCCCCTCCTTTGCTAGCTTAGGAGGAAAGGTTACAACAACCCTGAAGGTGAGATTTAAAACCTCAAGGTCATACATGCAGCACAAGAAGCTATTAGTGGGAGAAATGCTGGCCAGTCTGGATACAAGCTTTCCAGCCACAGTTAACAACCTACTCGTGAAGGACATTCTACCTACACTGGAGGGGCCCGTAGACCCCTAGCCCCACTAGACCACCTCAGGTAATCTATATGACTAGTTGCTTATTGTGGAAAATTAACAACTTGTAACTACTGAGACAAAATTTACTTGTTCATCACTTAACTTATTATTTGTTTAGTAGGTTAAAATAACAGGCTGTAATTCCAAGGCAAAAAGACGACATAACCATTAATTTTCCAGTAGAAAAAAACATACTATTAAAAACTGATCATTTGCAGCCTGCAACACTGGCATCCCATATGGGCACCGGTTCATGTCCCAGCTGCTCCACTTCTGATGTAGCTCTCTGCTAATGGCCTGTGAAGAGCAGGGGAAGATGGCCCAAGTGCTTCAATCCTTGCTACCCACTTGGGAGACCTGGAGGAAGCTCCCAGCTCCTGGCTTTGGCCTGGCCCAGGACTGGCCACTGCGGTCATCTGAAGAGTGAACCAGCAGATGCAAGATCTCTGTCTCTCCCTTTCAAAACTCTTTCAAATAAATACATAAATCTTATAGGATAAAAAAATAAAAGAAAAACAAAAGAAACTCTGGTCATTTGAGTTCTTTTACTGATTTGACCTCATATTTCTGTCAATTTTCTCATCTGTAGACTTACTAATATCTGCCTCTCAATAAATATTCAATTAAAATAACTGAAGACCTTAATTTCACTTCATTGGAAATGCAGAGGGGTGAGGGGTGGCAGATCTATCTTCCACCTATTGATCATTCCCCAAATGCCTGCAATAGCTTGGGGGCTAGGAACCCAGAACTCAATCAGGATGTCTCCATGGATGGCAGAGACCCAAGCACTCAGATCATCATCTGTTGCTTCCCAGGGTACACAGTAATAGGAAACTGGATGGGAAGCAGTAACAGACTTGAACCAGGCACTCTGATACAGAATGTGGATGTCCTAGGAACCAACCTAATCATGGTAAACACCCACCCCAGATTTTTTTTTTAAGTACTGAAATTAGTTGTCTTAAAACATTCATTCAATTCTGGGGCTGGTGCTGTGGCACAGCAGGTTAAAGCCCTGGCCTGAAATGCTGGCATCTCATATGGGCGCAGGTTCTAGTTCTGGATGCTCCTCTTCCGATCCAAAACTCTGCTATAGCCTGGGAAAGGAGTGGAAGATGGCCCAAGTCCTTGGGCCCCTACACTCACATGGGAGACTTGGAAGAAGCTCTCAGCTCCTGGCTTCCGGTCGGCGCAGCTCCGGCCGTTGTGGCCATCTCGGGAGTGAACCAGTGGTTGGAAGACCTCTCTCTCTCTCTGTAAGTGCTTTTTCAAATAATTAAAATAAATCTTTAAAAAAAATTTCAATTCTGAATTATCCATGGTACTGAATGATATGAATTACTCAGTTAATTAAAATTCACTATAATTATGTGAACATACTGCCTTACAATAGGCACGCTGTTACTTAATACAAAGCCATAAGGCTGACTAATGAAGAGAAATTAAGGACCTGTAATAAAAAAAATTAGCTATGAATATTCACTATCTTTCACAGAATGAAAAAGGGCTTTGGCTGTGACTTGAGCTTGTGTGAGACTAAAAATATTTAATTCCACAGTATTTCATTTTTTGTACTTTCAAGACAGAAACTGTAACTAGCTACCTGAAAACAAAGTTTGACCCTGAATAACTACTAATAATTTTTCATTTCCCAAAAACAAGTCACTCAGGTAATAAAGGAACAGCACTCTGAACCTCTCCCTCTATAAATTGTATCCTATTTGAACTTGTACTAATAATCTCCAATAAATGACAAATGTGAAAGGTTAGTTAAGTAAGATCTGCTTTATTAGGAACTTACAAAGAAAACATAAAAAGTTCAAAATAATGCCTTAAATGACATTTTAGACCATATTTATTGTTCCCTTGTTTGCTGTTTCCCCTTTGGCAAACACAAATGTTAGTTCTAACTGAATTCATCAGACACCTTAATGTAATAACAGAAAAACAGTTAATATGAGTATTCGATTGTGATGGCAGATAATGTGCTGGGTGCTTTCCATACATACCAGTGTTTATAGCCACACCACTTTTGCCACAGTTATAACTTAAATTCATGGTTTAGCAAAACTATAAAATGATTGTTATCCTTAGATTCTTAGAGTTTCTGGCTAACAACTGCAAACATTAGTTACTATCAAATTAAGTCTTGCATAACTTATAAAACAATCCATTTTGTTAATAAAGATTTGCTTGTTAATAAAGATTTGCAGAATGTGAAAGCTACTAGAGAGACCCTCAGGTGTAATTATCATCTGCAGTTTAATTAAACACAAGTACCTCTTAAGAGTTTCCATTCATGATGTAAGAGAAGGGTCAGGAAAAATTTTTTTATAGAGGGCCAGAGAGTAAACATTTTAAGCTTTGGGGGACATACTGTAACTGTCAGAGTTGCTCAACTCTGCTGTTATGGCAGAAAAACAAATTTAAATGAGTGAGCATGGATGTGCTTCACGGATTTCAAAAATTTTCTTCAGTGAAACCAACTTATCTTTAAATTCTATTTTGTCATAAACTTGAAAATCTGAAGTGCCCTTGTTAGTATCTATAGCGATAGTGGTATAATCATAATATGTAGTGATATAATAATATATATATGCAAGGTATAACAAGTAGTAACAGTCATTTCTTTAGTTAATTCAATTATGTATAATCTTCTACTCTAGTATACTTTTTACATGTTTTCTGAAAGTCTGTTATTTGAAGTATCCAATAATTGCCTTTAAAATGCGAAAAATTTAAAATAAATTGAAAATAAATGTAAAAAGATCAAAGTCAACAACAATCTGTTCATATTAATTTCTTGTGAGTTTCATCTAAAGAAACAAAGTACCATTAGAAAATTTAATACACTGATAGTTAAACACAATGTGCATATTCCACAGAAACTTAGCTAGTTCAAAAATCAGGCTGATATTGATAAACTTTAAAACACCCTTTGCATTCATTGTCTTAAGCTTCTCATTATGATTTCAACTCCATCGTGATTTTTTAAAATAAAAACTTAAAAAAATTATTTAAGAGCCAGAGAGAGACAGAGAGCTTTTATCCATTGGTTCACTCCCCAGTAATGTGGAGCCAGGAATTCAATCCAGATCTCCCAGGGGCTAAGCCATCACTACTGGTTCCCAGGATCAGAATCCGAAGCCTGTGTTGCGTATCAAAACCAGGCACTCCAATAGGAGTAATGAGTGAGTATCCTAATCCAGCATCTTTAATGCATGGCCAAATTGCCTGTTCCAAACCTTTATAAAACTTACTAAAAATGAAAAATTCTTAAAATGTTATAATAGCTAAAAGTCTATTATTTAATGTAACTTTATTAACGACACTGAATATGCCAAGTGTTACTCAAATAAAGTTTACAAAAACTGCTGCTAGTCTTGAAAATAAAAATTTTAATTCAGTCACAAACTTTGCTAAATATTAAAGTCATAAAACCCAAAATTAAGTGAACTACAGGAAACACATTTTCTTCTTTATTTGAAGAAATCTTTGTATATATTTGGTGTTGAACTTTCTAGGAAAAAAGTTAACAAGAAAACTCAGATATGTAAGTGCATTTAAACTTGGAAAGTATAATGTAAAATAAATATTTTATATTTATTTTAAAAACTTGATGTGGCACTTCAGATACTGTAGTAGAGGATTAAATGCCTTATTTTTGTTACTATTTCATCAACATAACAATTTAAGAAAATCATTATGATGAACACAAAAAATTCATTTAACTCTTAATTATTCACATAAAAATTACTTATTCAAGTATCCTGGAACCAATTCCCTTTCACTATCAAAAAATTCATCTTTAGAGTTTTAAACCTAAGCAAATGATCCCCAACATTTGCTTGGGATTTTGCAACTTATTTTAAATTTAACCCAAATGAAGAAATGTGATGAAAGTCTTATCTGCAACCCCTCAAAACATTACAAAACCATAGGGACAGAGTTATGCCACAGCAGTTAGGCTGCGGCTTACAATGTTTGCATCCCATATCGGAGTGCCAGTTTGAGTCCTGGCAGTTGCCCTTACCATCCAGCTCCTGGCTAACATGTTTAATTAGGAAAGCAGCCCAACTACTTGGGGCCCTGACACCCATGTGGGAGACCCAGATGAAGTTCTGGGCTCCTGGCCTCAGCCTGGCCCATCCCTGGCTGTTGGCAGCATTTGTGGAATGACCCAGCAGACAGAAGGTCTTTTTTTCTGTCCCTCTCTCTGTCACTGTGCCTTTCAAAAAACCAAATTTTTTCTGAACAACAATGAAAGCTGTCAAAATTTAAAATAAAATTATAAAACCAAAGAACTAAAATTCTGGATTTCCAGGATTACCATTCTTCAATCATCCTAGATGAGTAGTATCCTTTAATTTCGATTTAACAAATAAATCCTAAATTACCTGTTGATGAGTTACAAATCCAGCTTTTAAAAATAGCTATTAAAAAGCATATTTGTCAGTGCAAATAATATAAAAATATTGACATAAGAGAAGCACTTTCACAAAGTTCAACTTCATTTAAACCCTAACAACATCTCTGTTAATTTGTGTTATTAATCTCATTTTACATAATCACATTAGGTAATTTCCCTAAAATCACACGGCTGAAAGACAAACCAAAAAGAGTCTAATGTCAAGGTCCTTCCCGCATTTATTTTACCATACACACACTTATACAAGTAAAATTTTAAATGTTGTTTGCTCAGTTTTCAATAAATGACTCATGATGTTAGTAATATGGTCACAAAAATAAAAGGAAACCCAGTTTGTTATTTTCTTTCAAAAAACAAAAAGTGATTTCACTGGACTACAATTAGTTCATAGGGATATATTACAGGATCTGAAACAGTTATCGGATTCTAAGATAAATTCCATAATTTACCTAATAAAATTTTTCAAAACCCTCAAGAATTTCAGAACATATACTCTTAATTTACATAACCTATTACATAAAATCACAATATATGACTACATACAAGGAGCCTTCAAAAAGTACATTATCTTTCATTTTCATTTTTATTAATGTTTTGAAGCCTCCTTATATCTTGGTTTACCTGTTCAATCATAGAAAGGTTACATTAAGACCAATTAGCTTATTTTAATTTTGCTAAATAAAAATAACTACCCAAAGGGTTTCTTAGCCAGTCTCTAAATGGAAACTGAGCTTTCAAAGATATTCTCTTGAATAAGCTTCATCCAGACTTGTAGTATTTTTGCATTTTAACTATAACTTGTTAAGTGTCATTGATTTTAAGTCCTCTTCCTCTAAAAATCACTACCATGGAGTGAAAGTCAAGAACCACTTGAAGGAAAACATGTTTCCTTATAAATTCACGTGTTAATATTCTTTGTGAAACCTTGAATGATAGTTTTGAATTTTTTAAAGCAGTTCAAAAGTCTGGAAGGCAATTTTTCTTTCAAGCGATTTATTGGCATGGCTTTTACACAGTTGAGTCATCATGAGTTTAACCTACTGAGTCACCTGCTTACAGCATCTGCCAACCACAATTTACTAACTGCAGCTTCCTCAAACCTAAAACTGAACAAACTCAGGAAGGCCTGGGGACTGTTTAATGTTTTCCAAAGTAGTAACTGAAAATACTTTCAGAATAATTCAACTTAAAAAGAGAAAAAAATTCCTGGGATAAAAGAAGGGAGTTCAGTTGAACAAAGACATAAAATTACACGCTAGTCTAACAACATTGGAGAAAAGTATTCTACTAAAAATTCCTAGGTATAAACTAATCCTGAGTTAGTATATAATATAATCATGTCTATTACTATTCTAATTCATACAGAATATATATGAGTCACAGAGGTCATATATTGTTACTATGATATGAACATTTATGTAAAATTTATTTTAAAAATAAAAAATGCATTGGAATATAAATTAATGCCACATCATAGAATTTTTGGCCTGTCAACTTTTCTCACTTACTGCTACAGAAGAACTATTTTACCATACTTCTCTTTTCTCAAAAAGAATTAACATTCCAATGGAAACCAGAATAATCAACATGAAAGACTGACCAAGTGGCTTAGTTTTTATGACACCCATTTTAAGGCTATCGGTTATATAACAAAATTTACTGTAATTCTGAGTAAAAATATTTCAAGTTCCTTCCTTCATTAAATAAAACCACATTCAAGTTAGTCACCAATACTCATGGTTGTCATAATTTTCTTATAATTCAGTCATAAATTACTCAAAGTAAAATGATGCCTTTATATGAAACTGTCCTGTACAAAATTTAAGCTGTAACT